ATTTATTATTCTCATTCACCGCATTATATATAATTTTATAATGGATGGATATAATTGATTTTTAAATTTTTTTAAAACGTTTTATATTATAAAATAATTTATATAATTGTGATGGCATAGCCTTATTTAATTTAATTTAATCTAGTAAAGATACTTAATTATTTATTTTCAATAATGTCGTAAAAAATTAAATCTAAATTTACCTAAAAATTTAATATGGCGTTTAATAAGAAATTGGTCTCATTCTACTTTATTTTGTTTGTAGTACACATAATGAAAAGCCACATGTCGACGAAAATTTAAAATATTATAAAAATTAACTATAATTATATTTAACTGAATATTTAATTATAAAAATAATTAAATACATTGTTATTGTTATAATATTAAATTGTTATAATATTACTTAAACATATATTCAATAAAATTAGTTATATTCGAAATATTATAGATTATAGATTAAGTCTTAAAAGATTTTTTTTAAGAGCGATACATTTATTTCTAAGATATTTAATGTAAAATTTGATAAAATGTACACATATTTTGGTGTATGTCAGGTTCTAAATTAATTCCCTTCTATGACGAATTATATATAAATACGTATATGAAAAGGTTCGAAATGAAAACGAATAATGCAATTCAATTAATCTATAAATGCAGCATGTGTGCGAAGATTTTTTATATGTATATATAGCTTTCTCGGTCGTGATGCAAAAGGAAATTAAAAATTAATGACTACAATTTTTAGAACTTGAACAATTTTATTTTTATACCAACATTCCTACTAATAAAATATATGATATATCTATATAGCAATTATCTTGATGTTATTGAGAAGAAATTTGTTGCTTAACATATTCTATAATATATTATAGTTAAAAGCGTATGGTAATACGTGCCGTATCTGGACCAATTGTTCAGCGAGAAAATTGTGTTCTGTCTGCAATATATTATTTTATTTAAATATAAATTAAAATTATTTGCATCATTAAAGCAATCAATCATCATCAAAGTAATATTATCTACAAAAAAATTTTAGTTTAAATTATTTAAAAGAAACTGTTAATTGTACCTACGAACGTGTCATATGATTTAAAAGAAAATGGGAAGTCAAAATTTTTAACTGTCTATTATAAACTTGTTGATTCAATTAAATTTATCTTTCATAAATAATTTTGTTATGCACTATCTGAATTTTTTATGAAATGCAATCAATATTAGTTGAAGATTCTTCTTTATTTCTCTGCATATAGGTTTTCAATTAAGATTGTTTATACAATATTTTTCCTTTTATCAAATTTTCGATAATTAAATTTCCTCTTATAATCTTTATTATATTATTATAGAAATTTATTATTAAAGTGTATTGTCTTGTATGCAATGAATTTTAACAAAATATTAATTTAATCATATTCAAACATGTAAGCATTTTCTGTTTAATTCACACAACTCATAATGTATTAAAGCAAAAGCTTGAATTTATCGATACAAAATTTTTAAACAATTTTTAAACTACCATTAGAACTTGAACACATTCAAAAGAATTATTTTATTTTCATTGATTCACCTTTAAATATGCACAAACGTTTAAATTTAAATTTTCAATGAATTTTCTATTTTCTCCATTCATAAATACATATAATATACTGAAATTTCTCATCCGAATAAAACGTTACAATTGCCGTTATAAAAGTTGTAGATAAAGATAAAAAATTGAATAAATCAATGTCTTGTGCAATAATACTGCTTAATGATATTCTTTAAATTATATATTAGAAACATCATAATAGAAACTGATAATTTTTAATGGATTGGTTTATGGATTTATGTTTATATTTATGGATTTATGTTTATATTTATGTTTTTATTTATATTTATATTTATATTTATATTTATATAGATTTATGTTTATAATTAATGGAAAATAATGAATAACGTAAAGGATAATATAATCTTACACGGGTGATGGATTTCTTGAATAATCCTCTTTACAATGCACACAAGCTGCATGATATGCTATATAAACTCGTATACCTACCTATTTCCTCTCTCTTTCACTCTCCTTCACTCGCTGTCTCTCTCTCTCTCTCTCTCACTCTCTCTCTCATTTTTTCTTCTTGGACTCTGAAGCAACATGTATACACCCAAATGCATGTACACTTGGAAGGGTGTTATGCGAGCCTGTGTACATCGTGGCAATAGACGCAGCCTGAATAACACGAATCTTTAAATAGAGGGTGGTCCGGTCCAGTACCCCTCTAAGTACAGCATGAAAATATTGAATTTATTCAGAGTGATAGAGTCAAGAAAAAGAAATAGAAGAATATGGAAAAAGTTGCTTTGATTGACTATTTAAACACTCTTTAAAGCCAAACGGAAACAATTAATTATTGCACTCGCATCAATCATGTCCTATGCAACAAATAACGATCTCGTTGCGTTAACGGCAATTGGGCGTATTTGGACGATGTAGAACTGAACGGATACTATGGCCATATCGTTGCACGCCTTGTCCTTCCAGTTACTTCCAACTAAATAATCTTCTTAGTTTATTAACTCATCTATTTGTTATTGTTTATTGTTCGTGTTTCGATTAATAGTTATTGAAATATCAGATGTCAAGAACATGCTTCGATGGGACTTAATGTAAGACACCATGCCTACCGACCTATTTCATATACCCATTCTGTTGAATTTTGATTTCATTAGATATATTGTTTGGTTCGATGAAGATTCTCTAAGCAAGCTATAAGAGTTATCATTTCAGCACCTGCATTATCATGCGTTGTTATTCAATACCTAATTAATTAAAATTTTAATAGTTACTAAAGTATTTGCATATTTGCATTTCTTTTATACTTGAATAAGTTACGTATATTATATGATAGTGATTCTTATCTGAAAATCGTTTAATAGAATGTTACTACGCGAAACCAAAAAATGTTTTACCGTATTTGAGGTTATCGTTACATAAATTGATTGCCATAAAGCATTCATTTTTCTCATTTTTATATGAATTTTTACATTATTTAATTGCTGTATACTTTAATAGAATAATATTAGTTCTCATTATTAAAAAAGGAATATTGGGCAAAAATAACCAATTTAATTGCTAATACATAAATAAAGTAGATGTTTATTCACAAAATTGAATTTTGACGTTTGAAATGCGTGCAAAATTATATATCTTGTCTGAAACAGATAAATGTTAACAAGAAAATAATTAGCGAGATAAAAAAATTAGTTAAAATTTATAGATAAGTAATTAAAAGTTTAAAGATTAAAAATCATGTGATTTATATATGATACAATCTGAACTCTTGAATAGTAATATAATTTTTTTACTGTTTAAATAAAAATCTTTCCAAATTATAAATAGTAAAAGTAAATAAACCAAAGGAATTAAAATTTTTCTTATGTAAATTTAAGGATTACTACAATAGTTTGCGATATTTTAATTTTTTACTCTTGGAAGTTTGTTAAGCGCATACTATATTTGATTATTTATCGAATGTGTATAATTTAATATACTTTCCTTACCGAGCGGTGGATAAAACAGAATAACTCAACTTATAAGTTTTTTCTTTTATCTACACATCTGCACATATTATCTTAAGATGACAGGAATTCAAGATATTCTATAGAGCATCTACTACTAAAAACATTTCTTATTTATATTATGGTCATGGCGTATTATATAGATTTAATTATATATTTCTAAACGTTATATATTGACACATAATATGATAAACTAGTAAATCAAGTAATACTTTCAAACATTACATGTCATATCAAATAAGAATAAGAAGTTTTTATAAATTAATTTATTCTACTGTAAGTAATATTTCAAAAACTAATTTTGTTTTCAAAATCGTTATGTTCTATTGGTTCTTTTTCTTAATAAATAAGAGATTATTTTAAATTGAAAATTATTTTAGGAAACTTTTAGACTTTAGAATATTTAGGTATTATTCCGGCAACTATACATTTATCGAACATTATTACAAATTTTAGTATTGGTGATATTGATTGAAATATTGAATTTATTTACTACTTTATCATTAGTATTAAAAATGAAAGTAAAAATTTGAATATAAAATATTTGTAAGACTATTTTCATATATTTATATTGTACATTTAAAGTCTATATTTATTTTTTAAAATAGGCTTTAAATTAAAATTTATTTTATAAAATCAAAATTTTTTAATATTTTTGATTTTCCTTGTATAAAAAATATCCTCTTTTATTTTCTGATATTAATAACTTTTATTCTTAAATTAAATTTATAAACTTTTATTTTTAATTATTTTTTTATTTTCCGAATAAAAATTTTATTGTTATGCATTTAATTTTGACAGTTTGTATATTGTTATTTCCTTTTCGAAAAAATATTTCTAAACTAGAACTTTAATGCCTACTTTTAATATTCAAATTAACAAATTGTTTAATTTAAACTAAAATGTAGAATTTTGAATTTTAGAATGATTTTAGGTCCTATTTCGATGAAACGATAACAACATTACACAGTGATATGTCAGAATGTAGATGTCACCACTGATGTATAGTTGTTTTTCTCGTCTAGTTGATATGTAAATGCATAAAATACTCATGGCAGTAAAACAATCTATAGTTGTGTATACTATAAGCATAATTTGGCATTTATACCGTAGGCTTACAAATTTACATCTCAAACAAATATTAAAAAGCTTATTAGGCTTTTCGTTAATTTTCATTTTTAATGTAGGAATCAAACCAATTAAACTATAATGTTGTATTTTCTACAATGTAAGAACAAAATGCTAACATTTCCATTTCGATAATTTATATTTTCTTCAAGTAAAGTGGAAAACATTTACTTTGATTAACCACTATATTTAGGTAAGATTTGTATTTTAAGAGGTTTAAGTAATTATTTTTACAATTAGTAAATTAAAATAAATATTTAAAAATCAAGATTACTTTAAGAATATTTTAATGTAAATGTATCGTTATAGTTAAAATGGAGTCAGTGCAGTCAAGTAGTATAGAACTTGTGATTAAGTCTGTTGCCAATGAAGGCATAGTAATTCAGAATACAAAAGAAATTAATGAAAAAAACGAAGAGCTTGAAACGACAGAATATTTTTTAGATGTTGAAGAGCAAACTACAGAGGAAAGAAATGAAGATACACAATTTGTACATGTAGATGGTTGTGAAGAAAATCATGAACAATATATAGCTATGGAAGTGCAAGATACTAATCGATTAGTTATACAAGATAAAGATATAATATTTTGGAGTAATCTTTGTAGAATTTGTGCAAATCATAGCGATAAACTAATTCCAATATTTAATGGTGAAGGATTGGAACATAATTTATGCAATAAAATTCATAATTATTTACCTATAAAAGTATGTATAAAAAACTTATTTTTATAAAAAAAAATACTGTATAGAATAATTAAGTAGTATTTAAATAAAATTTATCTTAATCTATTTCTTTAGAATAAAAAATAAATTAATTTTACAATTTATAATGTAAATATATTTATTGAAAAACATAAATATAAATAATTTAATTTATAATCATATTCAATCTTTTATGAAAAATTGTAATTTCTATGATACAATATTCTTTAATATATTTATACTAATTATAATATAATAATATATATATAATTATTTTATTATTTATTAAGGATTAATTAATAATTGTTTTATAAGTTTTACAATATAGTTTAATTAATTTAATGTATATTCATATATATATATATATATATATATATATTTTTTTGTTAAGAAAATTTAAAAATATTTATCAATACATAATACAACAATTTCAGATAAATTACTTTTGTTGTAGTTTTTAATTTCATATTGTAATTTTCTTGCCTTTGAAATTATATGTAAAGTAAAAAATTTAAATTTAGATAAAACTGCACGTGTTATATTTTATATTTTATTTACGAGAATAAATAATGTTATGAATCATAATTAAAACTGTGAAATTATACTACAAAATCTTATTTCAATAATTCAAATTATATATTTTCTTGCAAAAATTTTATTTTAGATTTCTGAAAGTGATAATCTTCCATTACAAGTGTGCTATAATTGTGCAGCAACCTTGTTGGCTTGGCATGAAATGTCTAAAGGTTGTCTAAATGCTCAACAACATCTTGTAAATTTACAAAGTAAATTTAATTTAAAAAATCAAGTAAGTAATCACATTTTTATATTAAATATATAGATATTGATAAATATATTTTTTGTAGTACTATACTAATTCAATAGTAAAACAAGAAAATATTGAGGCGATATTAGAAGTAGAAGCAACAAATAATGAAGAGTCAAAGGTAATATATTTGTTTATATAAATACTTTTAAATTCTAAAATATCCTATGATTACTTTTTAATATGTAGGTTCCAGCAACAAATGAAAATAATGTAGAGTCGTTTCATATTGATGTTTCAGACACTGAGAGGTAATTAAATTATATTTCATGTTACTTTTTAAAAATAAAACTGGATGTTTAATGTATAATTTATGATAACTTATTTGCGATTTTTATTGCTTATTTAATCATTATATTATTTAAAAAATGATTAAAATCACAAGATTAATTATAAAATTAAATACGATTGAATAAACCTAAATGTTTGTATGAAAAAAAAATTGAATATATTACATGGAATTATAAAATTTGTACTAGATTTTATTTATAATTAATAGATATTTTATTTATTTACATATATTGTAAACATGTAAATATGGTAATAAAATTATATTTTTATTTATGCATGTCTTTTAAACAAAATCGAAAAAATTTTAATTGAGCATATAATTTGTTTTAACATCCAGTTTTATTTATTTAATAACACTTTTGCTTTTGTTGACATTCGTATATTATAAAACGGCATTTTTTTATTCAATTGATACATTATCAATTGCATTTATTTAATTTATCTAATATAAGTAGAAAGAAGAAGTAAGCAGCAAATAAAAATTATCAATAATTATGTTAATTTGTTTAATTAACAAAAGAAACTTTATCGTCGCCAAATAAGTGGTCCTAAACATGATGATACTTATGAATAAATATAATTAATAAACACCACCTGAATCCACGTTTAGATAACGCAAGTCTCGAGTCAAGTTTCGATTTTGCAGGTCCAGAAGATTCCACACATCATTTATAGAACCTTTTAATACACTAATTGTAAGTAAGGAATCTATCAAAGAAATAGTTACTATCTCAAATGAAAAAATCGATACCTGCTTAATGACAATGAGTAACTTCTGCAAATCATTGACACAATCAGCTGATTCATCGAATTGCAATTCATTAATCATAGAATCTGCAAATATTGAAAACATCAACATGACTCAGAAAAGCCACGCTTTAAAGAATAATAGCTATAAACGCAAGAAGAAAGGACTCAGCAATCAGAAAAATCTGTATAACTCTCTTATATGTGGTGACTGTGGAAAATTTTTTAAAGTGAAGGACTCTTTAGTGCGCCATTTACGAATACATAGAAATGAGCGTCCTTTCACGTGCCACATATGTGGAAAACAGTTTCGTGATTCCGGTGGACTATGTCGACACCTCAGGGACGTTCACGCTAAATTAAAAAATCACACTTGTGAGACATGTGGTAAAAGCTTCGCATCAAAAGCTACGAAAGATGATCATCAGCGAATACACACTGGTGAGCGGCCTTATATTTGCGATACATGTGGCAAAGGTTTTAAATCTAAGGCTTCGCTTTACACCCATAGTAAAATTCATACTGATGAATTTCCCCATCCCTGTTTACACTGTCAAAAGAAATTTCGTAGAAAACAAGAGTTACTATACCATGTTTCCATGCATACTGGCGAGAAAAATTTCGAATGCGATGTTTGTTTTCGAAGATTTAGATTAAAAACAGAACTTAGGAGACACACGCTCGTTCATTCGGATGATAAACCATTCGTTTGTAACGTTTGTGGCTTCCGTTGTAGGCAAAAGCGATATTTGAATAATCATGTAAAATACAAGCATAGCTTTTAGAAAGTTTTTCAAATTAAAAGTTTTTATTTTATAATTATATTAATTTTATAAATTTAAAAATTTATGAAAGAAATTTTTTAATTTATTTTTATACTAAAAATTTATATAATGATTATTTTATATCGTAATAACAAATTGAGTTTCAAATTTGTTATTTGTTTTATTGTTATATGCTGTAATAACGTTGCTTATTTTATTATCAAAAACGGAATACTAATAATGAATCATAAGTATCAATATATACTAGTGTAGATGAGAAGTTTTGTAATTACAAACGCCATCAGAATTTACTGTGTTGCAATATTTTTTGTTTTACAAATTTCTTCAATTAATATATGAAATTAGTCTGATATTAATAATTGAAATAAGAAAAAGAAGAAAAATATGTGTACACTCGTTGTTCGCTACTAACATTAAAGTAAGAAAAGAAGATAAAAGTTATAAGCATTCATGATGTTTAAATTGATAAAGCAAAGACATTGTGGGTTATTTGTTGAAATGCTAAATGATCCAAACTTCATTAATAGAAATTTAAATTGCTAATCATAAGAAGCTATAAAACACTAGTTGCACACTCAAGGAATGGTGAATCGTAACATCGTTTCTTTGCAGATGCGTGAATCTCGAAGACGAGGAGGTGATCGCTATCCTAATGACCTCGACTTCACCGAACAGTCAGAAAAAACGAAAGCTAAAGGAGGCCTCAAGCCCGAATGTGAAGGAATTGAGGCCGAACGCCAGGGTGGGCAAATTGAGGAGGCTAGCAGGTGCTGAAGCGGGGACTCACAGTCAGCAACGTCGCCTCGAGGTGGCTCACTCGAAGATCAGCATCGACGGAGTGACATATTATAAGTGCCGTAACTGTCCTAAGGCCCTATCAACCTCGTACAACTACTTCGCCCACAAACGTATACATGCGCGCGAGAAACTTCTTACATGCAAGATATGCAGCAAGAATTTCACCGTCACGTCCTCGCTTACGCGCCACGTGCGTGATGTCCATGACAAGATCAAGGATTACGACTGTGGCTACTGTGAACGAAGACTCGCCTCACGTATTGCACGCGACGAGCATCAGAGAACCCACACTAACGAACGACCCCATATCTGCGAAACCTGCGGCAAAAGCTTTAGACAGCGAGCCTCCTTATCGGTGCACAAGAGGTTCCATTCCAAAAATTTTTCGTTCAGGTGCAGCCAGTGCGGCCGAGCCTTTCCACGTAAGCAAGATATGGAAAGACATGAGCTCACACATACAGATCAAAAGCCCTATGGCTGCAAGGTCTGCGGTAAAAGCTTCAGAAGTTCCGCTTCTGCCATTAGGCACAGACAAAGTCACGATTCATCAAGCAAATACATTTGCGATGTTTGTGGCGACAGCTTCAGCCAAGAGAGATACATGAAGAGTCACAAAACGAAGATGCACAAGGATGATCAAAGTTTTTTATAATTATTATTTTAAGTATAAAGAATATTTGCAGACACTTTTAATTCGCTCGTTTACTTGTTTATATGCGTACGTACTTATTCACTTACTTCCTTATTTTCACATTTCCATACTTCTGTTTTTTATTGTTGAAAAATAAAGCAACTTATCATTTTATTTTCAAATAATTTTTTTATTTTCGTTTATTAATTCTGTATATAAGGTTATAATTACTCAATTTGCAAATGTATTATATTGTTTTTTTTTTCATAAAAATGAATGTGATTTATGATAGAATAAATGGAATTGACATGTATAAAATTATTTTTCTATGCTACAATTTATAATTTGGTCTTTGTATAGATTGAGAAAATAATTTAAAATAAAATTTGTAACGATTATTGATAAAAATTAATATAACTATAAATAAATTTGAATAAAATATCAATAATATCACCTCTTTGTTATTATTAATGTTTCATTGATTTCTGAAACCAAAATAATCAACACTTTCATTGTGATAAATTGATAAGCAAGTTCATAAAAGTAGATGAAAAAGACCGCGTATTCTTTTATTATTGCTTGTCATTAAGTTATAAGTTATATATTAATAATAAACAAAGTTTGTTGTTTTGACTATTTTTAAGCATTTAATACATAATATTTTATTTAAATTATTTTTAGTTTGGAATCGAAAAAAGTGAAATAAATTACACTTGCACTAATAAAATATACTATATCAACTTTTGTATTATAATTCATCTTGAATTGTTATTATTGATAAAGTAACTCTGCCAAAGGATACTTTGTATACTTTTAATTGCAGAGATTCTACAACAATCAATAAAGAATTGAAATTGGTTCAATCAGTCATATACATGTATGGAATTTGTAGCGAGTTGTACGAGAAATTCTATTTAATTCGACATTTAAATAAGAGTTACTAGGAAATGATTAAATTTCAGTACTTCCGTTACGCAATAGTTACAGTAAGTTATATCTATGCAAGGCTTTCTTTTGTTAAGTGTAATATGCGAGCACATGATGAATCAGTGAACAGATTATCTGTCACAGATGCGGCAAGGGCTTCAGAAATCGAAGATAATCCTAAATGTCACATCGACAACGTACACATAATAAGAAATAAAAAAATAAAAAAAATACTTAGCATTCTCCACAGGAGAAACCATACCAAGAAAAAATTTTAAGTATCTATCATAAGTCTTTCTCGCCAGTTACAGTGCATACATATGCACATGCATACCATAGTGTGATTAGTGTGAGAAAGCTTTCAAGGATAAGCAGAAATTCGTGGTAAACAAGTTTATTCACACAGGTGTCAAACACTATGCCTGAGTTATAAGCTACAAGTTATCCGTTGCAAAGAGTGAAACCACTAGACATCGTGTCGTTCACATCAAAGATAAACCATTTCTGTCTTCCGACCGTGATCTCAGCAATCAGTACCTGCAAATCCGTATCAAACTCTAAGAAGATATGTTCAAGGATTTACTCAACGGTCTTTTTTTAATTTGATCGAATAGTTCAGCTATTGCTTCATTACGTTATGAATTATTAACTTTGAGATTAAAGAAAGACTGATTATTTTAAGTACTTGAATAATAAATAGTGTTTGTGTCTATATTTTTGTTATATAAGGAATTAAGTTACTTTGTAATCGCCTATACATTATCAGAGTTTAAAATAAATTTTCTTAATATTATATAAAATTGTTAGATATTTGATGGACACATTAGGGTATTAAGCTTTTTCAATCTTATTATTATTGAGAAATACAAAGTAAAATGTATTTAGGTAGCCAATTACGATCGAATTCCATTTTATAAATATTTTTCTATTCGGATAAAATAAAAATGATTTCATTAAAATGTGCATATACTTTTATACAATAAAGTTTTGACTTAAAAATAATAAATGGTTTTTGCAACCCAGTAAGCTTTATTTTTATACAAATTTTCCGGGAAGAAAAGAAAACAATAGTTGTATTAATAATTTGTTATATATATGATTGAATTAATTTCTGTTTAATAGTATATTTTAATTTAGTAATTAGACACATTTTTAATTAGTTTATCTTTGGATTTATTTAAGTTAAATTTTATTATCTTAACATTCCATGTTGTTAGGAATACAATTTGATATAAGTAAATAAATTTATCATAAAAGTTTTTATTTAATCAAAAGCTTTTGTTTCAGCATTAAATATATACAAATTTTAATTTTAATTTTGATTTTAAATTTTATATAAGATTTATTGTTCCAAAAATTTTTGTATACATATCAACGAGTACATTAGCTTCAAATATTTTTTATAATTTCAGCTCCAATAGATTACAACGTGATTGTAGTACCTTCAAAGAATATAAAAGAGCTTTCAGGGCTACTCTACCAGCTAAAAGGAGCCGCAAGAAAACTCCGAGCCCATCGAAGTCAGTGAAAAAGAGGAGCAGTCGCTCAATAAGGAAGAAGTCCATGCATAAAGTGACAAAAATGAAGATTACGTCAGATGTCCACTGCACCTCTATTAATCTTGAGTCAAAGAGCTCAGAATGCTTGAGTTTTGCTGAAGAAAAGTTCCAGGATTTAACGGAAGCAGAGGCTGAGATTGTCAATAATTCAGCTGAACTTAATCAATCACCAGAGGAGAACTCTAAGTCGAAAAAATCTTGTCGTGGACGTAATGGCTCAGGTCTCGAGTGCAGAGAGTGTAACAAAAAATTTCGACTTTACAATAGTTACCAGATACATATGAGAATACATACGGGTGAAAAGCCGTATACATGCCACATTTGTGGCAAGCAATTCGGTCAAACTGGCAGCCTCTACTATCATCTTAAGCACGTTCACGGAGGTGTTAAGAATCATGCCTGTGATATTTGCGGGCGTTGTTTTGCAATGAAAACGGCTATGGAGGATCACCGAAGGATACACACAGGTGAAAGGCCCTATATATGCGATTCTTGTGGCAAGTCATTTAAAACTAAGGCCTCATTGTACATACACAGCAAGATACACACTAACGAGTATCCCTTTAAGTGCTCTTATTGCAAGAAACTCTTTAGATGGAAGCAGCAAATGATGAATCATTTAACAACGCACACAGGCGAGAAAAATCATATGTGTGATATTTGTGGCAAAGGATTTGGTGTGAAGAATGAGCTTACCCGACACAGACGTACGCATTCGCTCGATAAGCCCTTCACTTGCCAAAAATGCGGAGTTAGCTTTGGACAAAAAAGATACTTAACTAATCATAATAGGACACGACACAAAACGAAGGTGACTAGCAATTGACAAATGTACAATTTACGTTACAATCTAAATAAGGCATTAAGAAAGAAATTTTGTATACATTATAATTAAAATTTTATTCATTTATATTAAACATATAAATAAATTTTATTTGTTTACTAAAACAATCGTGTCTTATGCTTATTGCATTTCAACTTACATAAATTTATAAACAGTTTATTTTTATTGATATAATATTAAATAACATTGTGACTAATCTAATTATTAATTGGCAGCAAATTCTAAATAATAACATGTTATTAGCAATATTATAAGCTATTAATTTTTCTTGAAAGAAACTTTCAAATTATAAATGACTTTATATTAAGTAATTTTATATTATTTTGTAATATAAGGTTTTGTAAAATAGAAAAAGTAAAATTAATACTTTTCTTTTATAATAAATGTTTTTAGTAATAAATATTATTAAATCCCTTGAATAATTATTTGATTTTTTTTTATTTAAAAGAGTCACATATAAATCTATTGAGTAAAAAATGCGACATTAAATGAGAACTATTTTTTGTTTTTTTGATAATAAATTTTAAATTTATAAAATATCAATAGATGTACATACATGTATACGTATATGTATAGAATATAACAATAATGATATTCGTCCTAGATAATAAAACTATTTATTATAACTTAATTTATATTTTTTTCAATTTAAACAGTTCATTATATTTTTTTATCAATAATAATAAACTGATTAACAAAATCACTAACAAAATTATTGAAGTAAATTATTTATGAACAATAATATTTTTCTAATATAATACTGGAAATTTAAAATTTTTAAATGTGAATAGTTGAGTTGTAGCGAAGAAACACGTTATTTATTTTTTTTCAATGCAAATATATAAAAAATATTGTTGTATAAAAATATATCAGTTAAGTAAAATATACAATCAATTTTTAATTAATACTAATTTTGTTCATTGCTCCTTAATATTTATAAGTAATGAAAAAACTGAGCATTGATAATAATTGCTTAGTATTGATTGATCTTCACTCTACATTCGTTTTAAACTACAAAAAGTGGAAGTAATGAGGTAATTATTGTTAAGCAAAAAACATGCCTACATAATTTTTGTTTCTTTTTTGAATATTCAAAAAAATGTAGAAAAAGGAATAAATAACTGCTAAGATAGAAGACAAATCAATACAATTTTTTTTGTCGGTATATTACCCCTTCACTTCCCTTCTTTCCCCAGTAGTTGTACCAATACACCAAATTGGTATAATGCGGTTTAATTTTCAGCATAATACCGTATAACGTATGATAAGTATAGCTAATTTCTTCCTTCAAATTGTCAACATAATAATTCATATTGACTATAAATACAATCAGTTATGCACTTAAGGTAAGCGTGCAAATTTCTGGTATTAATATATAAATACCCTGGAATTTTTTGTTTTTAAATTTATTGAAATCAAATTTATAACATACAGAAGGACACTTTGACAAAATCAAAATACATTACGAGCATAAAATAAAAAATAAATTATTGTAAAAAATAATAAATTACTGCAAATTTTCTATTAAATAAAATATATCAATCAAATGTAAAAATTTAATTAAGGTAATACAAAAGAATGTTTTAATATTCACTATGTTCATCAGCTCAAGTAAATGGTGAAATATAAACAATCTATATGTTTATAATATGTAATTACAATACATTTGCATATATTAATATAGTAACATATAGTTTTAAAGTATATGAATATTTTTTTGCATAAATAAAAACTACAACTTAATTAAATTAAATTAAAAAATATTAATTAGAAATCCAAGCATTATAAGATTTATTTCTTAGAAATTCAATTTATTTAATAAAAGCTTACAAATTTGTTCAGTAATTAAGGTCAATAATTAAAAACTGTATTCCATTAATATTTAAATATTATTATACAGTAACTGTTTACATTGGTTTTTACATTAACTGCAGTAATTATTTAATTCAATTTTTTTAAGTATTCTACATCAATACTTCATATTGTATTTTAAAACTTAACGTACATTTTATATAATTTAAATATTTTAAAAATACATCATTTAACGTCTAATTGAACAATTGTATTTAAATATTAAATTACTTTATAGTTATAATTTTTATTTTTTGAGATAATTATTTTACATTAAAATATGTTAAATGCATATATTAATACATATATTAATTTAATTAACATATCTGAAAATCAGTATAATTATAAAAATTATTTTAATAACAAAATTATAAATACATAAACAATTAGAGAGAAAAGTTCTTTGCAAATCAGATTTTATTGGAACACAATTATATTAATAACTTCTGTTTTATTTTTGTTAATTTTGTTGGTATATCATAAATGGAGTTACTCTTTTATCTATGCGTAAATTTGTAAAATGTATTAACCGGTAAACCCGTATTAAAAGATAGTTGTAACAATAAGAATTGGTTAAAAATATTTAAAAAATATTTTCATTAAATAAACATTTAAAAATAAAAACATACAAATTTTAATTTGTCAAAATAAAATATTATTAGCTTCTACTTTAGGAAATGTATACGTTATTAAAATGAATACAAGTTAACATATTTTAGCAAATAGAATTTTTTCTGTTATAATATTTAGCTATTTGTTACAATAAGGAAGTTTTTGTATATCACATAATAAAATAACACTTTTATTTTTATTGTAATATTTTTTCGTTAATATTTATTATTTTAATTGATAAAGAAAAATATTCGAATAAAACATATTTTTTAAATTAACTTAGTACTAGAGATTAATATTGAGATATAAAATACTTACCCCTATTTTTTTACTTTTATTTTATATTAAACCTAATTTCAGTATTGCAATAGTTTAAATTATTTTATTTTTTAAAATATTTTATATTTTACCCTAGTATAAAATTAATACACCAATATACTTGGGAATTCGATTGCTCATTTGATTAATTGTAAATAGAACAAAATTAATCGAAATATATATCACAATCATTCATTAAATAATACTTTGTTTTTATAAATGCATGTTTTAATATAAAATTTTTTATTGGATATGAATTATGCTTTTGATCGAATAATCCAATAATTCATTAAAATTATTTTGTACAACATATTATTTTATCATCATTCAAAGCTAATACTTCTATACAAATAGTCATATACACATAGTTTCATATAAATAAGTTTGATGGAACATAATATTTTAGTAGTTTAATTGAAATGTTTTTTACGTAAGTGAAAATTAACTCGTGTTCTGGGAACTTCGAAATCAGTATCATTAATTCTCAAGCACTATCAATATATATTATAAATTTGTAAAATAAATTCTAACAATTTATTATTTCTATAAATAAAGTAATAAGTGCATTTGTATAACAATAAAATATAAATATATATAAATATTATTTTATTTTAATAAAGTTATTAACTTTAAAAAAAAAATGTAATGTGTTGTTGATCATCTTGACCACGTTCTTTGAAGGAAAGTAAATATATTAGATATGTATATAAAAAATTGCTTTCTTTAATACAAAAATCCATCATTTTGTCTTAAAAAATGTGGGAGCAAAAATAAAAATTTATATTTTCTATTACTATTGTTCACAAATTAATACAAATTGCTTATTATTTTACAATAAGTATATAATAATTTTGTATATCATTATATATACATTTTTAGTGTTAGCGAGCTGTGATTTTATTTTTCTTTATTTTTCTTTTAATATATTCAACTAGACAGTTTGAGAGCGAGATCCACCGATATCAAAATGTTTAATTGTACACGTAAAAGCATTATACAATAAAAAATTTTATTTAATGTAATAAGAATTTTCAATATTATATTATTTTTATAAATTAGATATTTTTTTAAATAATAATTTGAAATAAACATAAATAATTCGTATTCTGTATGAATATTTAAAATACTTTTAATATTAACTAAAACAAATAACATTCATTTATTATAATATTATATAATATTTTAGAGCATTTGAGAAGCGTGTATTTTATTTCTTCTATTTTTTTAAAATTTTAGTTGATTATGCCTATTAGAGTTAAAGAAAAAAGCATTGTATGTAGGGCACGTGTCATTGTGTACTATATTTAATTGTGTAGATTCATACTTTGAGCAGTATGTGCCACTTTGAGAAATGTGAGTAGTAAAGAGATATATTTTAAAATATCACATAAATAATCAATTTCCTTACCATTTATTTGATATTGATTAATTTGTATTATATTATAATGAATTAAGTTCTCTTTTTTCTTAGTCAATAATTGCAGCAGAGGTAAATAAATATTTTCCTCTTACATGCTTATATTGTTTAAAGAATCAAACCACTTTTATGGCTGCTCATAAAATACACGCCTGTTTGTTAAGGTTGACCGCTAGGAGTACTTCTATCGAGTTCATCGCGTTTTAATATTAAATCGACTATCTTCCTGTTTAATTCTCTTTTAGTATAATTGCATATGTTTTTACAGAATAAAATTAGCAATTATTTACGTATGTATCTATTTTTTTAATTGCTGAAAATTGTAATATAACAAACAAATTGTAGGTAAGTTGCAACTAATTACATTATTTTCGTAAACTTATAAAATGTATCTGAAAAAATATATTATGTTAGTTATAAAATACACTTATTACGATTCGAATAAATGTTTAATTATTATATTTATCTATAAAAATTAATTTTTTTTTAAAAAATTTAATAAAAGCATTTGACAAATTTGTTAATAGATAAAATTGAAACTGTAATAAAATAGATACAACTTCTTTTAGAATTAATAATTTTTTCTTAATACTGTCATTATTTAAACGTTTACGAGTAAGAAATAAAGATGTAAACTATATTTTTATATTATACAAAAACATATAATTTTATTTATATTATTGAATTAATATTTTTATAATTCTTGTACAAAATTTTTTTTTATATCAATATATATAACAATCATATAATAGAATAATAATAATAATCATATCAATATATATTATAATATATATCAATAGAAATTATTCATTTCATATTTACTTTACATGAAAATATTTTTTTAAGTATTAATATAATAGTGGATTTTTTTACATGTATAATAAATATAATAATAAGATTAAGTTAAAAAATTTATTTTAATAATAAACAAAATTATTCAAGTTTTTAAATTTTTAATTATAATATTATAATAAAATTAATATTTATACTTTTTTTCTTTTTCTTTAATTAAATATATTTCTATTAAATTTTTTATATCTATTTACAGTTATTTGTTTAAATATTTGGAAATAAGTCAAATTGTAAAACATGGCACAAAGTGCTGCTTTATTAACCCGTTTATTGGCTTATTCTGTGACAGCAGCTAAAAGAGCTGGTAAAATCATAAGAGACATTATGAGCCAAGGAGACTTGAATATTGTTGATAAAGGAAAAAATGATTTACAAACAGAAGCTGATAGATCAGCACAAAGGTGTATTGTAACTTCTTTAACTAAACAATTTTCAGATGTTACTATCATAGGTGAGGAAGAATCTTCCAGTTGTGAAGTACCTACTGATTGGGTTGTCACTGAAATGGATCAAGAGGTTTTGAGTATAAATCTTCCAACTAATTTAGAAAATGTTAATGCTTCAGATCTATGTGTATGGGTAGATCCATTAGATGGTAAATAAAATTTTTGAATGTTATTATTTAGTATATTTTCTTATTGTAATTATTATTTTTTACTAATTAAAAATTTTAAATCTGTAATGTACAATATTTTATATAACGAATAATTAATAATTATCTAGTTAACAAATTATATAATGAAATGGATTCTTAATTTTTGTAATTTGATATTATTTATAATTAAATTAAAACTTTTAAAAATTAAATCTAGTATATTAATTATAGGAACTTCAGAGTATACTCAAGGTCTTGTAGAGCATGTGACAGTTTTAATTGGTGTTGCTTTTAAAGATAGAGCAATTGCAGGTGTTATTCATCAACCTTATTTCAGAAATTCAGAAAGTAATTCTTGGGGAAGAACTATATGGGGTATTGATGGAGTTGGAGTTAAAGGATTCCAGCCAATTTCACCCATAGATGGAGAACGAATTATTACTACAACCCGGTAAAAAGATTAAAATAATTATTTTATCAATAAATGTTTAAATTCAGTGAATAAAAATACAATTTAAATTTTGAAAAAGCATTCTCATAATATAATTAAGTGTTAAGTAACTTATTCTACCTAAATTAATATAACTAAAAAGATTTCAAAACAAAATAAAAATTCTTAGAAATTAGAGTTTAAGATTAATTTTAATATTTTTCAAAATTATTATTAAATTTTAATCTTATATATATATATATATATATATATATATATATATGCCTATGTGCTTGTGTCTGTATGCATTAAAAGTTTATAACCTTCTTTAGTTCACATTGGGATAGTACTGTACAAGGTGCTTTGGATGCTTTAGAGCCAACTAATATCCTACGAGTTGGTGGTGCGGGTTACAAAGTAACAAGATATTAAATGAATTAACTTTTTTTTGTATAAAAAAATGTAATTATAAATATTTTAATTATTTTAGGTTGTTCTTTTGTTAGAAGGAAAAGCTCATGCATATGTTTTTGCTAGTAAAGGTTGTAGACGCTGGGATACTTGTGCACCTGAAGCTGTTTTACATGCTGTAGGTGGAACTCTTACTGATATTCACGGTGAAAGATACTCGTATAATTCTAAAACAAGTTATCCTAATAAAGGCGGTGTCTTAGCTACAGCTCCAGGACAGATACATCAATGGTACCTTGCACGTATTCCCAGTGAAATAAAACAAAGGTTAATATAAGTTCAGTTTTGGGCAATTGATTTATTACAATAATAAAAATAATTATGTGTAGAAATAAATAAATAAATAAACACTAACATATTTATTTATTTATGTATTGTTAATATTTGTAATTTTATATAAATGTATATATGTATGTATATAAAGAACACAATATTTCATTTGAAAACAATCACATGTTTACTAATATTATTGCACTGTTTAAAATTAAAACAAAATATATATCAACTATCTAGACAAAATAACTAAATTTTCGCTTAATACAACTAAAATAAACATTTTCAATTAAACCTAATTTGTTTATAATTTAGCATTTAATAAATTGCGTAATTCTCTGCGAAGTATTTTACCACTGAGATTTTTGGGAATGTTTTCTATAAACCTGGCTCCTCCATGAAGCCTTTTATGTCTTGAAACTTGATCTGTAATGTAAAATATAAAATAAAAAATAATAAATAATGAACATATATAAAAATAAAAATATAAACAACAGATAAAATAAAAAAATCTAATATAAATTGTAATATAATGAAATAAAAAAAGAGAATTCATATTACAGATAATAATAATTGCAATAATTAACATAAAATAAGAATAATATTATTAAATCCTCTGAGAGTAATTTCAAATTTATATTTGAAAATTTTCAATATATAATTTTATATATTTTAATAATAATCTAAGTAATAATTTAATTTAAATATGAAATACATTTTACCATTAATATATTTCACAACATCATTAGTAGTAATTTTTGCATTTTGTTGTTTGACAACAAATGCAAATGGTAATTCACCAGCTGTTTCATCCAACAAACCGACAACTGCAGCATCTTTAATTTCTGGATGTGTTAATAGAATAGTTTCAATTTCGGCGGGTGCTACTTGAAAACCTTTATATTTTATAAGTTCTTTCAGTCTATCAACAATGTAAAAGAAACCATCCTCATCATAGTAGGCAATATCGCCAGTGTGTAACCAACCATCTCTATCTATTGTTGCTGCTGTTGCTGATGCATCACCACAATATCCTAGCATTACTAAATCACCTTTAAAACATAATTCACCCTTTTCATTAGGACCTAAGGTTTTATTTGACCATTCTCCATTTGTATTTACTGGTATAATTTTAGCTGTAAATAAATAAATCAATTATATTCATCTGCATATAATTTATAATTTATAATTTTTATACAATACACACCTGAAATACCAGATATTAATTTTCCAGCACTTCCAGGTTTATTAGATTCTAATGGAATAATTAATACACAGAATGTTAATTCTGTCATTCCATAGCCTTGTCTAATTATTGCATTCTGCAGTCGATTTTTAACTGCCTGTTCAATCTCATTTGATAAAGGAGCTGCTCCACACCATATAGTTTTAACAAATGATAAATTATAATTTTGTACCATGGGATGTTTAGCTAAAAATACCATAAGCGGAGGAACAAGAGTTAAAATTTCAATTTTATATTTTTCTATGGTTGTTAAAAATTCCTCTTCATCAAAATGAGAAAAAATAATAGCAGTGGAACCAATAATAAGTCCCATAATAAGAGTATTAAAACAGTAGGTATGAAAAAATGGCAATAAATGTGCTAATATCTGATTCTTTTGTATAAAAAATGTAGATGGATTTAATAAATTTTGAACTGTTTTTAAATAGTTCTTTTCTGTTAACTTAACTCCCTTTGGAAGTCCAGTTGTACCACTTGAACATAATATACCCATTATATGCTTATCAATTTCAACTTTAGTTACTTCAAATGTTTCAATGTTTAATAATGATTTACTTTTTAATAACATTTTGATAGTAGGAACATTTTCATCAGCATCACCAAATATTAATATTAAAGTTGGTGACCAAGAAAGTTCTTTTATCAAATGCTTTATAGATTTTAACGCAAATGGAGAAAGAAATATATACTTTGGCTTTGAAATATTTAATGTATGTTTGAATTCCTTTTTTTTGTATGTGGGATTTATTGGACATATTGTAGCACCTATAAATGCAGAAGCACACAGAGGAATACAAAAATTGAGGTTATTTTCACTGCAAATAGCTATCCTATCATTTACAGATACTTGATTGTTTTTCAAATACGTAGCTAATTTACAACTTTGAACAAGTATTTGTTTGAAATTTAATTGTTCGTCAGTTTCATTTTGAATCTAAAAAAGTTGTAACATAAATAAAATATTAGTTATTAAGGCGTATTACGTTACATGATTAAAATTTACCTCTGCAATTTTTGTTCCATGAGATAATAATTTATTATATATTAATTGTCCCATAGTTATACCCTCCGGTAATTGTAAAGCGAATTCCGGTCCATTTAAAATAAAAGATTTATCCATATTTTTATGATTATTTATCATCAACTATAAACAATTAACATACAAAAGGGCGATTAATTTTTATGAATAGAACCTAAAAGTCAACTGTTCTTATTGATGTCGAAACCAAAATAGCTTCGATTAAAATTTTGCTTTGCAAATTGCATTAAATTAATTTAGCAGATAACAATTCAGTATATCAGACAGACAAAATATTAGTGTTAGTTAACAATAATTAAAAACAATATAAATGAATGAAAGCTTAATACATTAAAAATAAACTATTAATTTAATATAATATAATTTTCCAATCTAAGTTAACATAACTTATTAATTTCATTATCACATATATCATTTATGTTTGCGTGTTTATACCGACGAGTTCTCTGTCACTATTTCTCTTGATTTTACTTGAATTGAAATTTGTTTTTTATACAACTTTATGTATTATTATTTACTTAAGACTCTCTCAAGATATTTTCTAGAAACCTACATTTATCTTTTAATAAGGAATCATGCGCAAGTGATAAATTCATTACTTTACGTATATCTTTTATATTTATTGCTTTAATATGATTACAGTACTCACTTATCTTTCAATATTATAAAAAATTGCATATCTAACTAATTAAAATTAATATATCAAAATTAGAGTAAAATTAATTTGATGAAATATATTTTTAAAATTTACAATGCGTAACTTTGATATTGAATAATTTCATTTTTAAAAATGCAGTTTTTTGTTATTAATTAATAAAAAATGTTTTCTTAATTTTTATTATTACTTAGATATACAAGTTTACAAATTTTTTCTTATCTATCTTAGCTTTTCTAAAAAAGTTATCATTTTATGTACATCTCAGTATTTAAAATATAGTTTTATTATAAATTAATGACATGATTTTGCTGATGATATTATTTAGATCAAAAACAAAGTGTAACAAGTTAATTCATATTTTCAGTGATCTTATTTTCTCTATAAAAAAATTAAACATAAATTTTTGTTTTTGATAATTAATCGTAAAAATTTCTCACAATTAATGTGAACAATTATATTTTTGTCATCATTATAAAACTTTTAAAGGTGTGAATTAAAAAAGAAAATGTACATGTGTAGTATAATAATTATATTTCAATTACTATAAATTTCATTTAAATTATTTATACTTCTTAATTTAGTCAATATAATTAAGATAATATGAGAAAAAACGTTAAGTATATTTGTTATTTACACAAAGAAAAACATTTTATCATCATAATTAGTATTATATTTTTTCAATTGATCATTTTCTTCAATATCTGAAATATTACTAATAAAATAAGTTTTATTTGTTGATTCCGGAATCATAAAAGAACAACTTGGTACAATATAAAATTTGAAATAAAATTTATTTTATTTAACATATTTGATGCTGTAATTAATTTTTATTATTTTTATCTGCTTCAGTTAATAAAATTAATGTTTAAAAAGTACATGTAGTTTTACTCTTAAACTTTATGTATATATAAAAAATTCAATAATACATAATTAAATTTCTTAAAAATTTTTCAATTAAAAAAAATTGTGTAAAAAATTACACCACTTAACTACTTGAAAATAACTTAATTTTTTTAATTCTGTTGAATAAAAATAGGACTTTTGTATAGTATACATACATACATATTATATACAATTAAATAAACGTGCGTCAAATAATGATGTAAAACTTTTATAAAATTATAATCACATACTTCTAAAACTGTAAATAGCACTTTTTAATGTTAAAAAAAACAAGGCCATACTTCATGAATTTTTATAATGAAAACCAAGATGTTCAATTACTTAAAAAACTGTTCTATAATTCTGGAGAATTATAGCATATTTTTATCAATATTAATTGAAATTGAAATTTGATTATTTATAATTTGTTTAAATTTAATAGTTTTCGCATTTTAATTTTAACAAGCATACGATAAATGATTAAAAATTCGAAGTTAAATAAATTTTACTTACCATGATGGATGCTATATTTGGTATGCTCTTAGTCACTTCTTTTAATAAAATCGGTTTTTATTTAAGTTACAAAAATATATTAATTTTCTAACATTTATAACATCATTAAAAAGAAAATCTTATTAAATAAAGTTAATTTTAATGTAGAGTGTATTACTTATTGTATTCTGCATAAGTTGATTGATAGAAACTAATACACAATCTATAATTCCTAATTCAATAGCTACCAAGTAACTCCCTATGTTAACTCTATTCCGTATATTCAACTGATCTATTTTTTGATTAGCAAATTTTTTCAAATACCTTTCATAACACATTCCGTCTTTTTCATTATATTTCATGTCTAATTGGTTTACATCAGATATTTTATTACAGAATCATAAACTGTTAATTTAATTTACATAACATTAATAAATCATTCTTATATTCGTAATATAGTTAACTTAAATATATGTTAATTTCAATGGGAATACTGTTAATTGTTTATAGTAGACATACTATAAAATAAAATTTTTTTTAATTATTTTAATTAGCAGTCTGAAGATATAATATTTTTTATAATAATTATTATTAAATATAATCTTACTATTCCACATTGATTTCAGTTCGTACAAATTATGTAAGATTTTTTTGTTGTTAAAATTATTAATAAAATGTGAATTGTATTATAACACAATTGCATTAATTACTCAATCGATATTAAAGTAAATAAATAATACAATTTTGGAAAATTTATCAATTAAATTTATTTAATATATTTCACCAAATTAATTCTAATTATATGAAATTTGTAAATTTTAATAACAAGTATCATAATGTAATATACTGATGTAAAAATAATTAAAAATTGTTTATTATTTAAAATATTATTTTATGTTAATTTACTGTAGAATATAAATAACTTAATTTATAAAAAATAAAATATTTAAATATTTAACAAATACATATAACTATATTTTTTAAATACCTGAGTATAGAAATGATATAATAGGATGTATAAATAAAATTTTATTAATAATATTACACTTTAAAAATGTTTATTTTAACAAAACTTGTTTACAATGTGTACTTCAATCGATAAATATCTATTTGAAATTTTCGATATTCATAACACAAAATTTGTACGTTGTTATCAAGTTATTATTTCTTATGAAATAAAGAAATAGTTTACTCGATATATATATTTATTCACACACATATAGTACTATATATATATATATATATATATATATATGTATGTAGTACCATATATATGTGTGTATATATATATATATATATACACAAATAGTACTATATATACACATATACATGTGTGGTATGTTTGTATATCTAGTTACTACTAACAAGCAAATAGTCATGTATAAAAAAGAAAAAACAAAACAAATAATTTTGCTTTATTTAGCATATTTTTTTACACTTTCTAATATAATGTAGTTTATCGAACTACGTTATATAAAATACAACAATGCACGAGCAAATGGTACAAGTCGTCATTTCACATTTACAATGTCTTTTTAAACTGTATAAAAATTGGATACATATATAACATCTTTTCGCATTAGTGAAATTTATTGTTTACAAGCTACAAAATCGGTATTTTTTAATAATTCACACAAAATTATGTTTTTATTTAAATTATTTGCAATTTCGAAGCAAATAATATTTTTATATGAAGTGAATAATGTAAATGGAAATGACAGTTTTATTTAAATATATTCACTAACTATATATTTTTTGACATCACTTATCGCTGTCAAATTACTATATTTCTTTTGTCCTGTTTATATTGAGAAAATAACATGTGTAAAGCTTTTTAATAGTAAAGTGCGTCTTTGAGAAACGTTTTTACGGCTTAGCAACATCATCTGCTTCTATTTAATTGTTATTGAGAATCCGCTAGTTTTATTATTTATCGCTTCAGTCTTATCACTGTGCTTATATTCAATTTCGAATGAATGGGAACAGTTTCGCGACAGTTCTGCAGATTCTCATTATATAATAGTGTTAAATAAACACTTTTATATTCGATTGAATAAATCTACAGATTAATGTTATATCGCTGCTAAAGGTACATTGGCTATAATATTAAGAGCGTCCCGAGATGCGTATTATATACTGTATACTGTATGCGCGGTTGCATTTTAGTATAATTATTTTTTACGAACCCCATTTGTACACTTAACTCTGTACATATAGTTTTTTATTTCTACCGTGCGCGTTTTTATATACATTTTTATAATAGTTTTCGATTAAGTTCTTGCCTTAATTTTTTTATTTTCGCTTTTATCTTTTATACACAGTTTACTTCATATTTTTGGACTTTAAATTCCATATAATGCTGTTATTTTACGAGCTTACGAGTCACGGCAGTAGTTCAATTTTTAATACCGTTAATTCTGGATTAACGTTTTTCCTCCTAAATTCTTTGCGTGAAGAGTTCCGTAGATGACTAGATTCACTTTTTGCCATATATATGTTACAATTGTTCATCCAGTATCTCCAGTATTTGTTCGGGCATATCCCATACATGAAGGTTTCTATCTTTACTACCTGCAATTATCTGTGAATGAACAAAATATATTTATTATTTTTAATCAATAATGAAATAAATTAAAAAATATATATGTTTTGGATAGGTTATGAAGTAGGATATCTTACCTTTCTATCTACAAGTTCCATACTTAGTAACATATTTCCAGGTCCAGGTATACTACATACAAGACTATGATTCTACAAATATAATAAAAATTTATTTTACATATATAAAAAATAAGAAGTTATAAAAAATAAAATGAACTGCTTCGATTTATTATACCCTTGTGTCAAATACATAAATGTTGCCATCATAACATCCAGCAAAGAGAAGTCTTTTAAGCAAACACATGCACACAATACCAACACTTGCATTATATTGTACTATCTGTTCACCACTCTAAAATTAAAAATCAGATCCACTATATAAATGAAAATCCATACATTTTATAAAATAAAAAGTATAAGAAATGTTTTATTTTTTATTTATAGAAACTTGAAAAGTTTTATATAGTATTTTGTAATGACATTAGTGTTTATAGATAAAAATGTTAATATTTAAGATTATATACTTACAATAAAATCAAAAACTGGAATCGAAGTACTACTTGTTCCGCAGTAAATCAAACTGTGATCTCTCAAAAGACTGTAGATCGTATAATTCTTTTGCCCACTTATCGTGCGTAGTACAAGTCCGGTTATAGCATCTCGAATAGTGAGTTTTTGATTACGGGAAGCCACTATTAGTACTCTTCTCGCTCCTTCATTGGTTGCTTTTAAAGCCATAACAGGCTTATCAGACGATTGAATAGAATCCGGCTTTAAATAACCAGACTATAACAAATATTATGATTACTTAAAGTATACGTATAATAAATTACATTCAAATAATAAAAGTGAAATTTAAATAAGATTATTTAATAATAAATTCTTCATAATATTCATAAATTAAAAATTTACTGTATTTTACCCAATATATATTAAAAGATCGTATGATATTATACAAAGCTCATATTTACATATAAATATAAATGTACCTTAATATTAAAACGTGATATACTTCCAGATTTGGTGCCTATAAAAATTAAGCCCCATGCTTGATCCATACATTGAACTGCGCTTCCTACTTCACTCACTTGCATTTCTAAACCAGTCTGTAAAAATCGTTCGGTAATATTGCACTATATTTTAAAATTTTTAATAAATTCCATTTTGTAATGAAGCAATTTTCAATTAACTCATTAACGATTATAAAATATGAATTTTAGTGGTAAATTACTTTCCAAGGCTGTTATTACTGACAAAATTTATATCAATATAATTTGTTGATAAATTGATAAGTAATTTGTCAAAAATTAATTTTTATATTTTCATCCATTAGATTAAAATTTTTAATATTCCAAATCACTTCAGTTTATCTTACAAATTTTCGTATTTAATTTTCCTCACCCTTATATTATAGCACCGAAGACTAGCATCTAACGATCCAGAGTATAGCAATTCTTTTGAAGTGTCACCGGTGTCGAAACGCGTTACGCAAAGACAAGTCACAGCAGCTGTATGACCCTTGAAGATATTTAGTAACGTGTTGGTTGCAATTTCGTAGCGATAAACACATCCATCATCACTTGCCGCCAAAAATGTATCTTCGAAAACCTAAAATCCGTACGAATTCTTCATCGAACCAAATCATCCATTTCTTAATCTCACCCATTTCCATGATAATTGTTATTTGCCACAACCTACTATGTTAATGTGATTTTTTGAACCATTAATATAATTATCAAAGCCAAAAAATATTTACAAGCTACTTTTTTCATTTTAAACAGGATAGGTCTGAGGAATATATAATTGACTTAAAGCTAGGAATTCTACAAACTCGTGAACTTTTATTAAAAATTATGCTACGAACATGCTTTATAATTTAAAACGTCGATCTATAAATAGTTAAATGAACATAAAAAGTTTATGTGAAAAGAAAACAAAATATATAACTTTCTTTAGCTTTTAAGTATGTTAAATGGAAATTGCATTCATTTGCAAAACTTCTATTCAATATGAAACTATATTATATTACATAATTATTTAAATTTATAAATCTAAATTATGATCTTATTACTACTAAAATAAGGTTTGGAGGTATCACATCTGGTTTTAATTCTAATCGCTTCATAGTTTGTCACAGTTTAGTTCAGTTACATTTTCTTTTAATAAATTTGTCACTGTTCAGTTAAGCATTAAAGTTTGTTATCGTTAAGTTCAGTGATATAAATTTGTCACTGTCATATTAATTTTCTACGTTATTTTTGTTTCTTGACAGATGTCTTCTTTACCTTTATATTTAATATTGGGCCCTTGTGATTTGTATAAGAAGTCCTATTTGGTTTTTTCTCCTCAACCTCACCACTTGAACCGGGCTTTTCAATCTCATTAGAATTCTTTATTGGAATGACCATTTTTTCCACTATTACTTGAGCTTTTATCATTGATCTATCTTCAACTCGGTTTGAGTTTTGCTTCTCTTGATAGGATTCTGGAAATGTATTCGTTGTAAAATTAGTACAGATAGTTGCTGATGTTATTGACACTTGTTTAATTGGTATAGTATTAAATTCCTCATTAGTATCTTTATTAAATTTTGTAGGTGATACGACTGTTACTTTATTCTTTTCACTAGAACTTCGTTTTTCTTTTTTTATCTTTTCTGTTTCATAAGATTCGAAAAAATTTTCTTTTAGCACTTTATTTTCAACAAAACTTTCATTCTCAATAGTTTCTAGATCTTCGTTGCTTTCACAATTAGACTTCAAATCTGTATCTCTAAAATCAAAACAAGCTTGTTTTTTTTTTAAATATACATCATCTTCATTTGGTTTATTAACAATATTAGTTTCATTTTGCTTGGAATTCAAGTCTACAAAAAATACTTTTGAATTTCTAATACTAGATATGCCTGCTCTTCGTAAAACACTTGGATGTACATTAGGTTGTAACAAATTAAATTTACAGTCTACAACGCGCACTTTACACGATTTCATTTTTTCAGCACTTGTTGATAACTTCCTTTTTAAATTACGTTTCGACTGCACTTCTATTTTTCGATTCTTTGTAACAGTTAATGGCGGTCGACCACGACCTTTTCTTACTGGCATTTCTTCATCTGACTGTTCATCTCCAATAATGTTTTGCATACGAAATTTACTTCCATACTTAGGAATATTTTCTTCTGATACTCTAGAGCTTCTTCGCTGCTTTGGTATTATCCACCTGTCATCATATAGTTTTTTTCGTTTTTGACGTTTTATTTTGATTGAATTGTCAGATTTTATTTCATCATCTGATTCGCCAACTTCTTGCAATTTAACAGATTTCTCAGAAGTACTGTCGTCTATAGATTCATTATACTCTTTCAATATCTCTGATTTTTTTAATTCATAGTTCATTTCCTTATCGATATCTTTTAATGATTGTAAAGATAAATGTATTGACTTTTGTTCAGTTGATTTCTCTGCTATATGTAATTTTTTAAACATTTCTTTTTGGTGCATCATTTTTTCTATTTCATTATTTACGTTTATCTCTATATCAATTTTCGGTTTTTTGTTTATATCAATTTCCATTACCTTTTTTATAGAAAAATTCTTTTGAAGTCTAATTTTCTTCCTTTCTATATTATCTACATCAAGTAAGTTAACAAAGATTTGCTCCTTATTAATTACATCTCCAACTTGTTCTATTTTGTAATTGTTAATTGCATATTTTTTAGATTCCGATTCTTCATTAGTTTCTCCATATAATTCAGTTTCAGGAGAGGGATAATTGGAACCACTTCCTATTGAACTGCAACTATCCACAATTTCTTTTGGCAAAGGCATACCTTCATAAGTGAATGGTGTCATTGTATCTTCTTTACATGCATTTTCTCCTTCTATTGAAATATCATTCTCAGGTTGTTCTTCAAAATTATCCAATACAACGTATGGAGAACCTCCATAAGTAAATGGAGCGTCTATGTTATCAATTTCAATGACAGATTGAGTTTCATTATCATGTACCTCTTGACTTTCATATTCATCTTGTTTAAATTCTTCACTTGTATTGGAATCGTTTACTAAGTAACTTCTTTTTACAGTTTGTTTTTCAACATTATTTTTTACAGACTTTATATTTTTTTTATCTATGAATTCAAACATTTCTGTGTCTACAACTTCAAAATTCAAGTCAGTTGATGTACTTTCGTCAAGACTAACATTCACATTATGTATTCCCTCTTCTTTGAATTCCGATGTTTTAGATATAGAAACATTATTTAATTTTTCATCAGAAATATAATCTAATTGCGAATCATCAGTTAATGTTTTAATAATATTTTTGTCGTTTATTTGTAATTCAATTTTGTCATAACCTTTTATCTCATCTGTTTTTGTATATACATGTTCTTCTTTAATAATATCCATTGTTGATGGAAAGGAATGCTCTATATTATTAACGACAAAGTCAATGACTTCATCATAATGTTGCAAAACTTTTTGCGGTACATTAATTTTGGCTCTTCTTTTTGTTGTTCGTGTTCTTAATAAATTATTTTCTTCATCATCAAATGAGAGATCAGATTCTTCTGGTGTAGATTGGGAATTTAATAGAAATTTTAATGATGTCTTTTTCTTTTTAAATTCTTTTTTAAAAGATTCTTCCAAAAGTGCTAAACCTTTTCCAGCAGATTTCAAATTACTCAATGATTGATCTAAGGTATCTATATTGCTATCATCTGAGTATATAATTGACTTTTGAGCATTTGATAGTTTTTCTGTAAATTGTCTTGTTGCTTCTTTCATTTCTCTTTGTTGTAGGTTGATTAAAGATTCACTAATTATTGATTCATGTTCTTTTTTAAACATATCCATTCTACTCTTAGGTCGCTGATTTGCATCCATATCTTCTAATTTTAATATCTTAGAAGCTCGACTTTTTGGACGAGAAATACATTCTAAAAAATTTAAACAGATAAATCACAACTTATACTCTTACCCTATAGAATTGAAATCATATCATACCTTTCTTTAAGAATTCATCTTCCTCTATTTGAAACATATCTCTTTGTTTGTTAATATTTTCAGTGATTTTACCAACTCGGCTTTTGGTTCTAATGGCTGACTGAGGATTAATATTAGATGTTTGAATGATTTCAGCCACTTCTAAATCATCTTCTGAAACATCTTCAAATTGTATGGTTGCTTCAACTTCAGGACTCTTTTGCTTACTAAGTTTAGCAATTTTATATTTTATAATTCTATTCATTCTATTTAGTGAGCGTTTAGAAAATTCATCATCTAAAATAATTTAATTGTTTATCTATACTTTTAACACAGTACATATAAATCATTTAATTTAAACTGTTTAAATTATCTTTTATAAAATATGTAATTATTGTTTATATAAAATTTATGCTAAAATACAAGTTTATAATCATGTAAAAGAAATATTATTAATTTAAATATATGAATAAAATTAATGAATATAATTAAAACCAAGTAATTTATAGTATAGAGTATATATTGTTCCTTATAAATACATTAATCTTTTAAAAATTTAATATATTTGTGAAATTAATTATTCAAAATATTCCAGAATTCATACAAAAAATTAATTTAAAATTATTATTTAAACAATAAAATATTTAAATGTTAGTTTAATAGATATTTAGATATTTAATTAATAATTTAAAGTAATTGTTGATGTTAAATTGTAAGAAAATGAATTGAAAAATTAAATTTACTTAAAAAATTGTTTGTATTTGTTTATAAATAAAGTTATTTAAAAAACAATCGTTGATCTTAAAACAACAATAATTCTTTAATTTCTATTAACAATAATTTGAAAGAATATTATAACATAAATACATAAATTGAATATCGTTATTATTAAAATATTATTTGTTTGGCAAAATAAACCATTTAAAAATCAGGAAATATTTAAGCAATAAAAGTGTTATTATTTATGTCAAAAAACAAAAATAATTATGCAATTATATATTTTGAATATACTTATTTTCATTCTATTTTAATTTAGTAAATAAATATCTACAGTTCATACTGTCGTAGTATTCTATAGTTTATACACTTATATTTATTACGAATACAAATTATTTACTTAACTAATTTAATATTATATTTTGCTAATATTTTAGATTCTTACCCATTTTATCAATAGAAACTAATTCAATGCCAGCTTTCTTTTTGAAGTCATCATCGTTTAGAGAAAAATCTTGAGAAAACTTACGAAGTCGGCTTTTCGGACGCGAAATTGTTTTAAGATTAATATCATGATTATAAGTGATTGTCTCAATCTCAGAATCATCATCAGATGTGTTATCAAACTTTTCTTTTACAGAAGGTGACAATTTTTCTGGAGATTTACTATGTATAAATTTATCCAGTTTATTTTTTTGATGGGACTCTATTTCTAAAATAATTCATGAATATTTAGGTAATAAATTTTAAAATATTAAATATTAATTATATAAATTATGAAAAAAATGTTATACTCAAGTAAATTATAAAATGATTTAATGAAATTATTTTCATGTCAAATTACAATAATTACCAGTTTTATCATGATTAGACATCATTATAATAGTAGACTTTTTCTTTGAAACGTATTCTTCATCGTCACTGTTTAGATCTTTCAAAGATTTATTATCTCTACTTTTTGGTCGTTGAACAAATCTAGGACTGAAACTGCGATCGCTCGTTCGATTTTCGGCATCTGAATAATTAAATTCTAATTTATATACTGATTTTTCTTTTAAAAATTTGGGTAAAGGTCTATTTTCAACCGCCTTGCCTATTCTACTTGCTGAGCGTTGAATAGATTTCGTTTCTAAAATAATATTATTTATAAGCACCTTATCATAGTAACACATAAATCTAGTATTAAATAGAAATTTTATTTTCAATAGTAAAAATGTTTTTATAATTTGTTGAAATTATAAATACATGTTTTGGAGATTAAACGGCTTTCTTAAATTTGGAATTTGCAAATTATTTTTAAATGGGAAAAAGAATCAAGTAATATATTCAATAAATGTTTAATAAAAATATATAATATAATATATAATATATAATATAATAAATATAAAAATATTCATAAATAGATAAATACAAAACCAATTTACAAATAAGGACATTTCAGTAAGTAAAAAACAGTCAAATTCATATCGTTCAGAGCTCGGTTAAAAAAACTTTCAAAAATAATATTAATTTTTAGCGGTTCTTTTTTATTATTTTAAAAGCTTGATTATTTTTTGAAAACTTTTTAAAATGTGTTTAAATTACGTATAACAATAAGCAATTATTTAACTTTATTTTTTATTTGATGTTGTTACATTTAATAAATTTATTTTCAAATAAAAATATAAATATATAGGAAAAATAAAGCACAAGATATATTTATTATATTAAAAAGAAACGTTAATATTCATAATTATCGATTAAAAAAGTTTAGAAAAATAAAAACTATACTTTGCGGTTTGTTAATGAACTAAGGAATTAAACTAAATATAAATATACCAGCTACGTTGCGACGAGAGATTAATTCAGAATCTGATTTTTGTCTTTGGCTTTCTCCATCGCTATTTAATAACATTTTAGAGAATTTACTAGCTCGACTTTTGGGTCGTAGCATGAATTTATTACTACGTCTATGATCACGTGTTTGATTTTCGACGTCTGAATCACTCAATTCCGACCTCTCTTTTGAAGTTTTTGATATTTTTATTGTACGTTTACTTTTTGGACGTTCGATGGATTTTGATTCTAAAACGTTAATTAATAAATGTCATTAACACTATTATTTTATAGAAAAATATTGCTTATGTACAAATATTTTAATTCATAAGAATATTGTGTACCAAAAAATTATATTCTTTTGGCGAATAAAAACATTGATATTCATAGGAGCGCAAGAAATAATTATTAATATATTAAATTTAAAAAAAAACTATATAAATTAAAATGAAATTAATTAAAATTTGAAATGCATTAAAATTTATGTTAAATTAAATTTTAATACAAAAATACAAATATTTTGTATTTTTGCGAAACTGTTATCACATAATTCAATAATAAAATAAAAATTGATTTTTATAAAAAAAATAATAATTTAAATTATTTCTAAAACACTAATTTTCCTTGCATATCTTTTATACTGTATTTATTAGAATTAAACATTGCTGCAAATGTTAAAATCCAAAAGTAAATTCCTAATTCGCATACATTTACAATTATTAGAAAAATAAAAAAATGTTAATAAATATGCATTAAACGATGTAGAAATTAATTTTAAATCACTAAATTTATAGATTTTATACATTCCAAATAATCAAATTGAAATTATATATTCTAAATTTATATACAACATGAATGTGTGTAAATTTTTTAGCCTATAGAAATTTTATTAAGTTTTTAAACTTAAAATGAAGACTTACCATTTAGATAATAATTTGTAATTACTTCTGAATTAGATTTTTTTTTGTATTCTCCGTTTTCATCGTCTAAGTTTTTAGATAATTTATTAATACGACTTTTTGGTCGTGGAATATGTTTAGGGCTATCACTTCGATTATGTGTATAATTATCAACTTCAGAATCATCACATGATTGATTTATAGCCTTTTCTTTTACAGATTTGATAGATTTCACTAGAGATGTATTTTTTAAGAACTTACCCATTCTACTTTTCAGGCATGCAAATGATTCTAATTAAAAAAAATAATAATTAACAACAAGTATCGTTCATAAATAATTTTCATTTATCATTAAAACATATTTTACGGAAACTAATAACAATTATTCTTTAAATAAACTTGATTAATCTGCAAGCCATAGTGTTATCAATTAATTTTTTTATAAAAAATCTACCTGATTTATCATGGCTTGAAAATGATTCTGCATCTGATTTTTTCTTTTGATCTTCAGAATCATTCTCCAATAAATTTTTAGAGATTTTTCTAACTCGACTTTTAGGACGTAAAATGTGTTTAGAAGTATCACCTCGATTGTATATATAATTTTCGACTTCTGAATCATCTGATTTGTTCATCATTTTTTCTTTTGAAATTTTAGTTGCTTTATTTGGAGATTTACTTCTTAAAATTTGATCCATTCTGCTTTTTGGCCGATTATTAGAATCTGCTTTTAAAATAGTTTATACATTTATGTTACATTATATGAATTTGAAATTTCTTTAATATGATAAATATACAATATTAATCAATGTAAAAATAGAAATGCCTTATCGATCAAGATACAATGGACTTAGAAACAATCATCAATTTTTCATTATAATGATTTGTCAATTAGAAAAAATATTTAAAATATTTTCTATTCGTAAAAATAAATAAAAAACTTTTATATTCTATCAAAATATAATTAAATCATATATCTATTATTTTATAAATTTAATTACATTAATTTAATACATATATTTACTTATTTTATATGTATTCTCTTCAGAATATAGAACTAAATAAAGCTATATATTTTTAATGAATTATTGATTAAAACTATATTTAGTTTAGTATTCTATCTAGTTCATATCCGTGGTATATATATAACAATAATTATTTTTATAACAAAAATTTATAAACTAAATTTACTATAAAAAAAATGGAATCTATAAATTTATAATATAAAATATTCAAAGTTCTTACCTTTAATTGATTTCTTTTTATAATTATTTTTATCGCTATCTTCAGAATACTCTTCCATATCTGTATTTTTATCAGAATTTTTAATTTGCTGAATCTTTGCTTTGGTATCAAAATCAAAATCAATACGCTTATAACCGGTTTCTTCATATTCTGATTCATCTGCAGATTCTTTAGAATCTTTTTCAAGTCTACTTTTTGACCGGGAGGTTTGTGTAATACCGATGATTTTTGAACTTTTCTTAAATATATCTACATTTTCACTCAACTCTTTATTTGATTTACTAGTCTTAGATTCTATTATTAATTTGTGAGAAGGCTTTGATAATTTTTCAACTGAAATTTCGTTTGTTACCAAATGTTTATGACTACTGTTAGATTGCTCTTTAGACCTACTTATCTTTTTCTTTTTGTCTTTGTGTTTTTTCTCCTTTTTTTTACTGTCATGGCGATGTTCGGTTTTATTTATATGTTCATTTCCGAAGAACTTATCTTCATAAGAAATAGATTTATTTTCTAAAGTATTAATATCATTATTGGAAATATTGTGCAACGATTTTTTGGTAAATTTATACAGAGGATTATTTACTAAATTTGACATCAACGGAGTAGTAAAAGAACTAAGCGAATAATTAATATTTGATGGGCCGGCTAGTGGCTCTAGATGTTTATTCATCTCATCGATCGATGTTCTGCAAGTATTTTCGATTGAATGCTCCAGTTCTTGATTATTGGTAGTATCATTTTTGTTAGTAAAATTCTCACTATTAAGCATGTTATACAATTTCATTTTTTCATTCATCAGTTTGATGACTGCTTGATCGATTTCAAATAACCTCGACACAATACTTTCCCTTGTGTTTAGCTGGATCTTCTTCGTTATACTTTTATTTGTCAAATTTTCAATACCCATTTTAGTTGGAATATGGGAGTGACTTTTATGTTTTGTCTTTTGTTTATTATGTATTTTATGCAAATTCTTCTCCGTATTACGGCTTTTCATTTCACTAACCATATTTTCCACATGCTTGAACTTTTCTAATAGCACGAAAGGCTTTTGTCTATTAGACCGTATGGCGGTGCTCACTCTTGTTTTCACTTCGTCTTTACTCATCTCTACAACTTGATTGCTATCTTGACTTTTATTATCCAAATTCACGAATGTACTGTTTTCCTTGGTCAAATTTGCACTGACTGTGTTTCTGCTTGGTTGCGCTCTATTATTACTACGAACCTCATTCTCGATGGCTTCTATACCTTCGGAAATAGCACTATACTTATCACTATCAGTAACCGATGCTACTTGCTCTACGTGTCGATCTGCTACCAGCCTTGAAAAAGGCATGCATTCGGCGTTCCGAACAACACTCACGGCCTTTTGCCATTTCCCTTGAGATTCCACTTGTACGAGTGCATGCAGGCCGCCTGTATTATCCATGTTTCCTTCTTTGTTATCAAGGGTTCCATTTATGTTATCGGTAGATGGAACCTGTGCAGTGGGTATAGGGCTCATCGGCCTCGATATGTCACATTTTGCAATCTGTCTTTGTTTTAACGCGATATAGTGAGCGTTCGTGCACGTTGCCGCAAGGTCCGGGGGTACATTGATTTTGCTTAGCTTCTTGTTACCATCCTTGCTCATATGTATTATGGTTATGGGTGTTTTCAAAATCATTTCAGATATCATTGTTGGACGAGCCCTCGGCTGTGGCTGCGGTTGCGGTTGCGGTTGCGACATGGCCGTCATCATTGCCATCGTTGCTCTGTCTGCATGTTTTTTGACAGGATGTATTACGCCGCTAATATCGCTTCCTTTGTTATCAATTTTCTGATAGGCTTGAACAGCATCAATTGCGTGTTGTTGCTCCATTATAGAGACAGGAGCTTTCGAATCTAAGTCAAGTAGCAGAAGCGATTTCTCAATAGGATCGTCCAAATTTACTGACATTGCATTCGCCTGTGATAGAGAGGGCATGTTGTCTTCGGCTATTAATGCAGGAATTTCCTCGGACTTTGGATCACCAAAAACTTCCAGAATCGGCGACAATTCTTCCATTGCTTGTTGTATGTTTACGATATCTGTTGAGTCTTTTAATTTTAATAATGCACTTACAGATGGTGGTGAAGGATTTTTTAGTATTCGTTCATTTTCGTCCTTAATATGGATTAACTGAGACGAATCTTTATGAGAACAGATCTTACTTTTATTGAATTCATGCGAGGCAGTATTTTTATGTAGTGGTTCATTGAATCTTTGAATTTCATCGTCTGGTTGTATGATTTCTTCTGGTTCAGGCGAAAGTGGCGTATCGAGCTCTTGGGATAAATCTTTTATATCTTTTGATTCGTTGTATATCATTGCAGACGACACTGAAACTTGTTTATTAAGAGACAATACTTCATAATGTGTATCAAGTAACAATGTAGACGACAAACTCCGTGCTGTATCTTCTTTCATTGCTATTGGTACCTCGTATTTTGTTGGCATTGATATTTCGTAATCAAGCTGTGGATTAGGTGAATTTGAAATATCTTCATAGAGTGGTTGAGATGGATTTCTAATTGATTCGTGAATTATATTCTCCTGAATATTTTGATACGAGACAATGCTTTTTATTGGAACTACATTTTTCACGGATATTTCCGCAGATTTTTCTTCTAAAGTAGTCCGTATGTCTAAAGAGGTTCCTTCACTAAACGGTACTTGCGTATTGTCAACCTCAATTTTTTCAGAAAATATTTGTTCATCACCTAAAGATTGCGGCATATGACTTTTTTCAGGATCATTTGTAATTGGATAAATTATTTCTTCTGGTATAATCTCTTGCGGTGATTCGTCAAGAGCAATGTTGTCCATTATAGGTTGTTCAGTAGTATTTTCTGCCATAGATGGTGTAATAATTTCAAATTGATTCTCATTTTTTTCTAGTTGCTTTTTAAGGTTACTAAAATCTTGCATACTTGCATTGGGTAAAATATCTTCTACCTTATTATCCAAGCTTATAGAGCCAATTTCGGCATCGTTGGTAAAATTATTTTGGAAATTAGTTGATTTCAATACTGCAATTTTAATTCCTGGATTATTACATAGTTCATTATTTTGTTTAATACTATCCAAAGTATTTACTTCTTCATTATTTTTTGTTGCTTTCAATTCTTTAGTATTTTGCATAAGCTGATCATAATTTTTATTACATTTCATTTCATCACTTTCTTTCATAAATTTCATTAATTGACTATCATCCAGATTTTCATTATTTATATTCTTTTGTTCAAAATTTTCAGTATTTATATGTTCATATGCTACACATTCAGTTACTTCTTCAGTAATTATAGTATCTGATTCTAAGCATTCTATAATTGCTTTTTCTTGATCAATGTATTCTGTTATTGTTTTACCCTGTTCGTGACATGTATCTATTACAACTTCTTCAATAACATCGTTGATAATAATACTTTCATCCATAATTTGCGTGTCGTGTAAATTTCCAGATACACTATTTTCATTTAAATTTTTTAAATTATTCTCCTCTTCAGTATTTTTCTTATCTGCATTTTGCCAGTAACTATCATCATCTAAATTTTTTAAATTATTTTCTTCATTGGTATTTTTTATGTTATTATCTTTGATGTTTTTCAAATTTATTCCTTCATTCATTTTCTTTTTGTTATTGTATTTATTATTTAATACTCGTTCATCTGATTTTCGTATTTTCTGATTCTCTATATTATCATCTAACATTTGATTTACATTTTGCGTAATAGCACGTGGCTCTTCATTAATTTCGTCGACGAAATCTTTCATCAACGCCTCTAAATTATCAGTATCCGATTCTTTTATTTCTTTATATTCTTGAATATTTTTAAAGGTAATAGAAGATTCTGAATTTATTTTATTAAATTGTGTTTGAGGCAAGCTCGAAGCATCATTTTCAACTGCTATTACTGGTTCAATAGCATTTCCTACAAATTTTTTTAATGGAATGTTCGCACTCGAGATTGATAAGGTACCCATATTTGATGTTTCACTTATTTCGAATATCTTCGATGCAAGTTTATTTGAAGATGCCTCGTCAGGTGAATTGAATTCAGGCACGTGAACATAAGCTTGTGTTTCTACAGCAGCAACATTTTGCACGATTTCATCAGTGATTACATCTTGTAACGCACTGTCTATTGGATTAATGACTTCCATTTCGAGGGTAGCGCATTCACTCGAAAGCTCGATTTCATTAGTCGTGAACATACCATCAGCTTTGAGATACTCTTCATCTACCGCAACTGTTTGTTCAAAGAAAGGGTCTTTAAGAGAACAAGTATTTTCACGTGCGTCGATCTCTGTAAGCAGAGTTGTCATTTCGACGCCAATGTATTTGTTTATCTCTTGGTTCGAAACCGTATTTGACAGTCCATCGCATGTAACCGTTGGTTGAATAAAAAATACGCCACTGTTGATATCTGGTGGTTGCATAGTTAGCATAACATTTTGCTCTGTTTCCATTGGTATTTCATGAACTTCTTTTTTCTCCATATTAGATTTTTCATTGAGTAATGCCGCCGCCGCCGCCGATTTCCTTTTAGCTGCTGAAATGATACGTGGATCTACTGGACGATTACTCGCCAAAGCAATTTCTAATACGTCAAGCTTATTTAAGTTATTAGATTTTCCACAAACATCTCTACTCGTATTATCCTTTATTTTTGTTTCTACTCTTTTTGATGTATCTTGTTGATCAGGCTTTTCTTGTTCATCAGCGCCGTCAGATGAATCAGATTTGGATTTTAATTTAAGTTCTTTGCTACCTTCAGATTTAATATTTTTGAATTTATGACTGTCAGCTTCGCAAGCCTTGCATATCTTCTTTTTTTTCTTATTCTTTGAGCCATCAATTGTTTTGTCATCTAACTTTATGTGAGGATGACCAGCTGCGCATCTATCAGTTTCTGCCCTAGAAAACATTTTCAAACTTATTACATCCTCTAATTCAGAGTGTTCTATTAATCTATCTTGATGAGTATAATCATTTGTTGATGTAGTCTCTATACTAGATGTATCTGTCTTTTCATTTATTTTCTCATGAATATTTATGCGTTTTAGTTTAATAGTTGATTTAAAATTCTTAACTGCCTCGGCTTCAGTTCTTGTCATATTGTTTCCTACATCTTGAGACTGGCTTATACGCTTCTTCATAGAAATGTTAAGAAGATCATGTGTAAGGGATACAGGATTATTCTCAAATTGCTTAATTTTCTCATGTTCCTTTCTCTGACGCTCTAATAAGCGTGCCTTGTAAGCTTTAATGTCTAATTTTTTTGGTTTATTTGGATCGTATGATTTATCATTAGCAGATGGTTTTTCTATCTTTTTCGACTCGAGATTTTTCTTAGCTATATTACGCATTGATGTACTCTTTTCTTGAGCTTTAGGTTTAATTATAGGTTTTAAGACACTTTCTAAGCCTGCGCTAATTTTCGATAAATTTTCTTTGCAAGCTTCTTCTATACTTTTAAGTATATCGTCCTCCATCTCTTTAGATATTAACTTAATACTTTCTATATTTGTATGTGGCATCAACTTCCTCATTGGAATCTTTATCTGTGGTGCTGTGACATTTATTATTGAAGCTGATGTAGTTCCTATTACTGTTGCAGTAGTTAACATTGGTATTCCTGTTTTGGCTGCTGTTGTCGTAATTGTGCTAGTAGCTTTTGTCGTTGTTGCTGCCATTGCAGTTGTCAATGCTATTGTTGTCGGCGCTGTAATTACTGCTGTCGGAATAATAATTGATGTTGTTGGTACAGTAATTGTTGCCATGGATGCAATAATAGTAGTTGTTGGGACTGTAGCGGTTGATGATGATGATATTGTTGTGATTACCGTTGTTGGCTCTATAATTGTCGAAGATGGTGTGTTCGCCGTTGTTTGATCTATAATAGCTGAAATTGGTGCTGCTATTGCCGAAGTTGGTACCGTGATTCTTGTTGTCGAATTCGCGATCACCATAATTGGATCTGTAATCGTTGAAGTCGATGCTGTGATCTTAGATGTCGACATTGCTGTTATCGCTACTGTTGTTACTATTGGTGAGATTATTGTTGCCGAGGGAGATGCTGCTATCATTGTTATTGCTGGCATAGAAATTGGCGTTGCTATGAGAGGCAATGCTGCTACCGTTGTTATTGCTGGCATAGAAATTGATGTTGCTATCAGAGGCAATGCTGCTGTTGCTTTCGTGTTCAGTATTTTTTCGGCTACTGCTGAAGTAGTAGATTTTTTTGAAACTGGTTGGACAGTGTCAGTAGTAACAATCGTAGTTGTTTTTGTTAATGTAGTACTGGTAGTTGTCGATCTTAAGGGAGTCATTTTAGTTACTGCTTGAGCAGCAGTAGTATTTATCTTTGAGACTATTTTTCCTGGAATCTTTAAGGCCGATTGCGGAGCAGATTTTAAAGCAGAGTGGCCAACTAATGCAGCGGGCATCGAAGTTCCCTTTGTTTTGCCCTCAGCAGCAAGCTTCTTGAGGCTTACTTTATCAGATATTTCGTGATGAATGACTTTGTCAGAGAAAGTAACTTTCCTCACATGATGTTCATTCTCATGTATTTGTTTTGCATCAGTTTTGATTTTTGCAACGTAAGGCTTAGCAGCATGTGTGTTTCGTGGATTTGTCTGACTACTTTTGAAAAGAACTGTTCTTCCACCTACGGCCGCTAAAGTAGCAATAACTTCAGGTTCTTCTTTAACCTCTTTTTTAATTTCATCTTCAGTAAGCAGTTTTGTTGGCAATTCATCATCTGAATCTGAATCACTATTTCTCGAACGTTTCTTATGTTTTTTCCTGCCACGTTTTTTCCGTTCCTTTTTGTCTTTTTTCCTACGCGCGCGTTTCTTTGCCTTGCGTTCTTTATGTTTGTTCTTTTCACGCCACTTACGCTCAATTTCTGCAGCCACCTCGTCCCTTATTGTTTCATTGATCGACTTCTTTTTTGCAATCTTTTCTCGTTCCTTAATAACTTTAAGAAGTTGCGTAACGTCTGAAGAGGTTTCATCATCAGTATCGCTAGATGAAGTCGAAGTCGTATCGTCATCACTGTTGGATGACTCCCGAGGCGGTTGCTCGATAGTAGGAGGTTCTTCTTCGTTCAAGTTCAGAGCTTGCATTTTATTGAATTCAGAAAAAGTGACCTCCAGCTCACGTTCGAACGCACCCCGATCCATGGTCTTTCCATATTTAGCATCCCATTCCTCTTTAGTGAGATTTCGATAAGCATCGATATGTTCTCGCTCCTTTCTCATCCATCGCTCAACCATATCTGTCTCAAAATCAGCACTGCCATGTTGATTAGCAATTTTGTTCGATCGATTTCCTTCCGTAACTGATTTGGCTCTAGCCATGCCTACCGAAAATATGTCGTCAAGATTGAAAGCCGTACGATTATCGTGTTGCTGCTGAAACTGGGGCTGGTGCTGAACCTCGGATGTAGTCTTATTATTACGATCGATACGACTCGTCAGTCTGCTCGTTATACTAATGGTAGGCAATTGAGGTGACGAAACTTTTGTAGCTTGCCTGACTTTAGCGATGCCTGCAGAAAATATATCGTCGATATCGGCCATATTCACAACGGGAGTTTCAAAGCTTTCGGTTGGCATCTTTGCGTGTTCTCGTAAAATATAATCTTGTTGGGCCGTATATTGGTTGTATTCCGTATCTATTTGAGTAGTCGTTGCTGTTGTGCGTATCGATCGACTGAAGCTATTACTTGAAGATGATTTTGTCGTACTTGTGGAGTGATATTCCAGTTGTTGTTGTTGTTGTTGTTGTTGTTGTTGTTGTTGTTGTTGTTGCTGCTGCTTGATTTCTTGACGTAAAATAGCAGTTGGCACCATTTTTTTATTTTGTTCATCACGAATAACCTTTACAGTGACTTTTCGCTTTTCTTTATATGGATAATTCAAAATTGATTCGATATTTGGTTTGTTCTCTTTCTTCCGCCGGGTGAGTTCCTGATGCGTTGTCGTAATTGGTATTTCAGTTCTGTTTTCAAGTCCATAGGAACTAATAATCATCTGTAATAAGAAAAATAATTAGAAACATCATTTGAATGAGCATTATGTATTTTTGAGGCAGATTATTAACATTCATTTTAGAAACATGTAAACAATATTTACAATACTATAGTTCTGTACATTTCAATTAATTAAATCGAAAGTATAAGAAATAAATTTAAATAAAAGTTTATAAACTTATTTGTACTATTGTAGATATTTTAAGTTGTCATAATGAAAAAACGTACTGGTATTACTCAACTAAAATCTATACATACTGATTTAATCAGTTTTATAAAATAAATTTTACGTAAACAGATTTTTCAATTTGAATTTGATAATTTTGAATGAACTCAATGCATTTAATGTAAATTACTCCAGAAAAGTTATTGATAAATTTTTTAAAAGCCTAAATGTATTTCCTAAATGTATATGAATAATAATAAATTTTAATATTAGTTTATCAATTACTATTTAATTAGAAAAATGACTCAATTTTTAAAATATGTATTTAGTACGATTTTATATATAAATTATTTAAATTCTTAACTTTAAATGAAATTATAAGGTATTATAGAAGTTCTAATAATCATGCAGCAATGATTATGTATTTGCATAAAAGATTTCTTGAACAACTTTATTTGCATCACTGTAACAACCAAGTAATATATTTGATTGGATATATAAAACCCAAAAATCTATAGTTTCGAGTTATTTTATGATATAAAAGTTCTGAATATCTGCTCATGCGCTCATATTTTAAAAGTAGATAACACTTTATATGTACAATTGTAAATGTTGCAACTATTGATTTTCGTACATTTAAAATAGTATGATTTATGTGCAGTCATCTGTCATATTAATGAAGAGAAAAATAAATTAATATAAAGTGGCGAAGTATATTATATTCGGCTTTTAATTGTATTCTTAAATGTATAAATTGAATAAAAATTCAGTCATTGTTAATGAGATTATACAGTTACTTTAAAATATTTGAAATGTTTGTTAGATTCAGCTCATCAATATTAAGAAATAAATATATTTTATAAGAATTTGTCTTTTATTTGAGAATATATTTATTGTTAAACTACACTAAGTATAAATGAATCTTACAGCTTGTATATTAATAAATTTAAATATAATGTAAATTTGATTATTCTAACATTATATAATCAAATTAACGTTTATTTTCTGCACAATAATTATACAATTAAATAATGTTCTGTCCAAGATATATTAATTTTTCAAATTTAACTTTTTAGTTGAACTATATTGATGTAATCATTTTGAAGAAAAAATAATAATTAATGCAAAACAGTATTAATATGCTTTATCAAAATAAGAAAAACTTATTTAAAACTAATTTTTTCATTAACTTTTCTGATATTAATAAATAAATAATTAGGGTTATCTATAAATTTAAATAATAATTATCTAAGGAAAATTAGAAAGAAAATCTTTGTAAAATTTAAAATTGGAAATATTTCAATTCAGTTAATAAATAATGATACGTCAATATTAAAAATAAAATAAAATTTTGTTTATATTTTTTATACAATTAAAAATTTGAGTGATAAAGTTAAAACAAATTTATATTATCATTAATTCCTTTAAATTCATAAAATTTGATTGTTTTCATTAATTTCCTTTATTATTTGAAATAAAATATGTTCAAGACAAACCTCCGACTGTTGAGTGCTCGCAATACCAAGATCGGCTAATTTTATCGATTCTGAAACTATCATCGGTTGCGCGGTAATAGCAGTAACACCGCCGATAGTAGTAGTGGCTGGTCCGGCTTCGAACTGTAACGGATCCAGCTGTAACACTTCGTTCAGATGATGAATGAAATCGGTTGGTAAATTGGAAATGTCGATTGCGGCGTTGGGATCCAGCATCGCGTTCAACTGATTCATAAATTCTTCCCTGTCGTATTCCCTCATCCGTTCATCCTCGCTAATGCGAATTTCCTGATTGATGGAGCTCTTCTTCTCCCTTACTAAGTGATTCATAGCAATGTCGAACTTCCGTAGGCTAGAATGATTGAGCATGTTACGTATTTCGTTTTTACTCATTTTAAGGAACCTGTTGATTACGCGGTGTTTCCAGGAGGCTTCATGAGCGCTCATCTCTTTCTTCACTATGGGTTTCTTTTCGACGGACACGGCTTTTACGAGCTTACGCACGTCCGTAGTGCTGGCCTCGTTCGGAGACTGCATACTCGTGGCCACGGCAACTAATGGACTCGATCCCAAAGGTAGGTTTGTCGTTCCGGCTACAGCTACCTTGGCGATTGCTTCGTTGTTAAGATTCAGTAACTGGGTGTGTCTGAGCAGGTCCTCGGTTGTATGTTTATCCATTAATATTTGCTGCGAGATCTTAAGGATATCCATACCAGGCATTATCTGGGCGGCTTGTTCCAGAGTAGCGGGCTCAATACCGAGACCAGCGGTTGCAGATGCTATAGGTGCCATTGCCACCTGGGAGGAGGCTACAATCGCTGCTACGGCGAGACTAGGATTCGAATCAGTTGAGTGCGACGGCGGTGGCGATATAGGTTTGGGGACAGCACTGATGACGAGAGGCGCAGATGCAGGATCAACGAGATCTGTGGCAATAGGAGCTAGCGGCTGTACAGTGCGAACTCCAATTGAAGCGGGTATTGAGGGTGTAATCTGAGTTGTTGGCTGCACTGATTTCTCATCGCTCATGCTCATCAGCTGTTTAGCGAACTCCATTGCCTCCTGCATCTCTTCGAGACCGTCCTCATCGAAACTCATTGAAGGCATGGCCGGAGTTGGACCGATCGGAGGAGGCGGCATCGGCTCGGGATTGAGGATAGGTGGCACGGGTAGTGGCGCTGTACAGGTGACTGGGACAGGCATCGGCACTGCTGGAAAGCTCATCTGCACCGGAGTCATAAAGGCTGCAAAACTAGGTATCATGACTGGAGGTGGGGGCAACGTGGTTTTGGGTGGTTCTCGCGTCGCCGCTCCAAGCATTAGAGATGAACGTTCAGTAAGAGAAAGCCGGGGATCAAAAACCGGTGGTGGCTGTCGAACTTCTTCCTGCTTTTTTTCAAGAACGGTCGAGATGATAGGCTTGCGTGGATCAAAGGCAGGCGGCGGTTGCAATACTTCTGGCTCATGTTTGATTGACTTACTGGAGTCAAGTTCGCAAACAATGCCACCCATTGCCGATTTCTTCACATTCGGTAAGGCTGGTGGTGGTTTGCTGAAGTCCGACGGTATTTCTGAACATTAACATCGCATTATTATTTAGAATGTTCCGTTTTAAAACATACGCTTTCTCCTTTTTTAAGGCTCTTTTTTAATTTAAGGCATTATGTTATATTTATTATTTAGTATAATATCGACATTATATTATTCATTATTATATATTTAAAGTATTATTATTTGTTTTATTTTTAATCTAGTACATTTAATAATATTGTCATATTTATTAATTTTTAAATTTATTTATATTGATACAAACATAAATAGGTATTTTAAAGCACATTAAAAATTTGTGAAATACCGACTGATAATTTCTATCAATTTATACTGCTAGAATTAATTACAATGCCAGGTACATGGCAAATGTTATTAGTTTAATAACTTAGTAATCTGAGTATTATATAATATGTAATGCTAGCAAGAATTTTGGCTTTCTTATAAAATCTTTTCAGAAAATATAAAATAAAATTTAATTAAATAAGTATAATATACTAACTAAATATATCTGTAAATATTTTATTTTACATTTTATAATTTATTCAAGAGTAAAATATTTGTTTTAGTAATAATACAGTATTTTCTTACAATACCAGTAAAGAATTGGTACATAATTTATTATTTATCCACAATTTTATTTTTCTTATAATTTGATTCTCAATAAAATCTTATACTGTCAATATAGGAATATTTTATTTAAGTATTTGAAATATTAATAGCTTAAAAATAAGAGGATGAACTTAATAAAAACAAAGTTAAAATAAACATTTTTTGTTACACTACAAAATTTTTTAAATTAATTTCTTATTAATGCTAACAAATAATTTTTGTTACATAAACAAAAAATATGTTTTCTTAACATTTATACTTTAGATATATTTATAAGTATATATACATTTTTTGATACAAGCTTTAAATTTACAATATTTACAATACTTAAAATACAACCTTATAATATTAATATTACATTATTATTATTATATTCATAATTCTAGTTAATTTAATATTCTATATAATTTTATTTAATTCAATAGTGGAAATTTATTTATGATAATTTTAAAATCCATAATAAAACTTCTGTGATATTATAAAAATATATTTTACAATATTTTTCAATATTGAAGTAAATTTAATAAGAACTAATGTTTCTATATTATTTGAACTATAAAAATAGTTTCTAATACTATAAAAATTTAATATATTAATACATATCGACTTATTCTTAAATTTATAACTTATTTTGAAAAAAAGTTTGTATGGTGTTATTAAAGATAAAAATTTATTAAGTCCTTAATATTCAATAAATACCTTAATTTCATATTATTATTTAAAATTGGATTAAAAAAATAGAATAAGATTTATCACTATGAAAATATAAAAATTTACCATCAAAAGGTGTTTGCCAAGGAGTCGAGATTCTAGGGGCATATCCAAGAGTTGGTGTGAATGATTTAGAATAGTCAGTTGAGGTAAAGGGCGGTGGGCACATAGTGACTATCGAGGCTGTTACAGTAGTCGTTGCTGTTGTAACTGCTGTACTACGATCTGATTCGTAGTATGATGTTAACTCTGAATCCACGTCCAACTTGGACAATTTTATAGATGATAAAGAGTCATCCTTATCAATAGAAAGTTGCTGTGAATCATCAGCAGCGATAGCAGAATCACAAATATTTTCTGCTTCCATGACATCCTGTAACTGATCGCTACTTCCATGAAGTATTTGCATAACATTGTCAAAATTGATGGGTTCTTCAAGTGGTACCATTGGTTGTTCTGTACACATGGGCACTTCCTCTATGTGTGCTACTGCTTGTTCATTATCGAATTCTCCACTTAATATGTCATTGGGCATTCCATAATCATCCATCTCTGGATTACCAACACTGTCCACTATAAGTTGTGTATCATCATATACTTCTTTAGAAGACAAGGAGAATTCATTGAAATCAATTTTACCTATAGGTTCTGATTCAACTCTACGACCAATGTCCTTAAGATCATCGAGTGACAATTTTAGCTCTGGAGGTTCATGCCTCAATTCGGGTATTCCTGAATTTTCACTCATAGTAAAGTCCTCTTGACAAGTAATAGTATTTGCAGATGCATCATCAGTAGCCGATGAAAATGCTGATTCTGCTAGATCTTGCTCCCAAAAATTTACCTTTTCTTCTTCTGTGATATTGGATAAAGATTTTTTTAACTTTGCAGCAGTTTCTGTTATCTTTTGTTGACGTTCCTCTTCGGATCCCAGTAGGGGCTCCTGAGGCTTGTCAGGAAGGGATGGCGATGAACTGTCACTATGGTAGGGACTGGAGCGACGACTTGAATAAGAGTAGGGCCTTCCAGGTCCAGGATAGCGCATATTTGATCCCCTAGTGTTAAAACCTCTTCCCCTGTTATAATTCTGATAAGGTCTTTCATTTTTATCTTGTCGATCAAATCTATCTGTTCTTTCCCTTTCAGATCTATCCCTGTCTCTGTCTCTATCTCGTTCTCTATCCCTATCTCTATCTCTATCACGATCTCTATCCCTATCTCTATCCCTATCTCTGTCCCTTTCCAATCGATCATTTCTATCAAGAGATCTGTCTGATAGCCTATCAATGGGGCTTGTTCTATCCCATTCAGATTGGAACTGAGTGGATCTAGAGTACTTTTGAAATGGAGCACTGGGTCTGTTGGGCCTCCATGACTGATAAGGCCTGTTACTCTGACCTCTACTGTCACTTTCCCTGCTTTGCCAGTTGTCGGATCCGCTAGGTGGCCTGCTGCTGCTACCCCTGCGGTTTTGTTGCTTCAAATTGGGATGAGGAAATCGGGTTCCGGCGAATCCATTGGCCGTCGGCCTCGTGCGTTGTCCAAAGCCCCGACCACGATAACCACCGCCACTCATTACACACCGTTCTCGACCGTACCAGGGCCCAACAATTCCTCCTTACTTCACTATTCTTCTGTTGTTTTTAGCGGCGTCAGCGGCTTATTCCCTGTGCGCCCAAATAATTTCGTCGCTTACGGCATGCTGTGCCGTTCCTCTTCACTCGGTATCTTTTCCTTATTCACGGATTCACCTGTCACAGAACCGTGCGATTAGTCGCGAGCCTTCTCATTATCATCGTTTTCCCTCTCAGGACACCACTGATCCTTCTGCTGTAGCACTTGCGACAACTGCAAAAACAAAACAAATGTGAAATGGGTGTTAAGTCAGGCGTATTCCTTTTCTACTCGCTCTCACTGTCTCACTCTTACTCAAGTGTGCGCAATCAAACACAAGACAACTAAAAATAAATTAGCAACTACAAACCAATTTAATCGCAATCTTAATATGCCGAAAAATAAAAGCAATTATCGATAATTATCATGCCAGTAGAATTTATAAAATTTTGGTAATTCTCAAAATCATTTTGGAATTCTTTCGGAATGGTAGCCTGGTATTTTTAGATTACAACTGTGTTCCTTTATCCCCAATACACTTCTCTTCTTTCTCTTTCTCTCTTTCTTTCTTTTTCCCTACCTGTCTCTCTCTTTCTCTCTCCCTCTGTTTCTTTGGATCTCTATCTTTCTTTTTTCGACTCTGCTCGGTTGCTTTCACGTTCTCGTTTTTTCCTTTCTATGAACGCACACATACACATAATTTATTTCTAAAGGATCGCACACAAACTCGATATTTCTAGTTTCGTACGAAATGTGTTATAGTCGACACAAGCTTCAACAAAAATTTGCGAACTGGCTGATGCACGCAAATACAATATGCATATATGTATATGTATGGGTAGTAATGCCACCTAACCTCAAATTTGTTCTAGGACTGATAGGGTGCGCGCGTGCACGCTACTCTCTATTTTCCCTCTCAACCGCGCGTACGACCCTTTCTCTAGTTTTACAGTTAACACATTCTAGTAAGTGCGAGGTAACAGCAGCAACACCGCGCGGTAACTATGACGTTTCTGCCCGGCGCTTTTCCATCGCTCCGTTCGTTTCCGTCAGGTCTCTTACTCGATCCAGAACGTCAAATAAATATTGCCTTACTTATATTTGTAATCAAAACAAGCCCGAAATACGTGTATACGAGTGGTTATTTTGGCAACTTATACGTTTTTCTCCCTTTCCGAAATCATGTAACACGTCAAGCAGGAATTCTCAATACACAATGGGAAAAGCTTTCTGTCTTTCCTTCTCTTCCGACGATTAATACTCCAGTTTTGCGAGTAAGCTGAAAGCGTGTAACAGACTTTAAGTGAAGTGTACTCTAGTCGTCGAGGAGAGAGGCGAGTCAGTTTTTTTTTTTTACTATTATTGTTATGAAATAAAAGGCAACATGTTGTATAGCGACACAGCGACACCTCTCAAAGGGTTTGATTCAATGCGCTTGGCTCGAGAAGCCAATACAAAACCACAACAGAACTTCGACTCTTTAGTAAGGTAAAATCAATTTTACCTCGTAAATAAAAGGCCGCGTGATTTCACATGCCACCGATAGTTATCGCCATGTTGCGCATTGCTTGGACCTCTCTCCCCCGCCTGATCCGTATCACACTCCCTCCCTCTCTCACTCTCTATTACCATATCATATATCGTCTTTCTTGATCATATCATGGATATGTTATTTCTGTCTCGCTTCAAACTTTAAGATTAGCCTATTTGATTTTTCAGAATTTTCGCGAATCATTCAATATAGCAAATAAGAACGAATATGACTCGTTAACCTCTCAGTTTCAAATTCGGTTCGTACGTATTCCCCACACTTCCCTCTACACACATAAGACGGCTGATATTCCCCCTCGATTGATTCTCTTTTTCTATCACTGGACGGATTTCGTTCGCGAAGTGCGTGCACCGAGTGATGATTCGGCAACGTTGCCGTTTCCGGGTTTGTCACGACTCCTCACCCTTGTTGCTGCTCTGTCAGACAATAGGCAACCAGACGTTATTTATCTCGAATCGTCTAAGACCGCGGCGCGCTATCCGATACTTAGCATAATATTGCACAATAAGCATTGGAAGAAAATAAAACGACATCCAACACAAGGATTCAATGACAGCTATAAGTAACTGCTATAGCGTTATGCAAAGAGGCTCGCTATGACGTGTCTATAGTGTAGCAATGTTATGTTTCGGTCTTGCTTTTGCATCAAACGCATCTTACAAAAAATTGAATCAAGATAAATTTATTCACCCTATGGTGGATGGTGGATCCCTTGAAATTTCATAGTGATTTTGCAACACTGTTTCTTTGTACTTTTTCTAAGATTACTCGACTATTGTTCATCAGAACGCGTATGACAAATTTTGAGTGGCGGCTAGAAGTATTTATATGCTTTATAGATATTGCTGATTCAATTAACAAATTAAATATGCGTTGTTGAACGAATCAAACTATGATAACTAACCTTTCGCCACTTTCGATGGTTCCGACTTATCGAAGCTTTTTTGTTTAAAAATCTTGACGAATCTTGATTTAATATTGTACAATTTTTTTTTAACTCGCTATATTTATTTAATAAAACTAATAATTTATATTTATACGAAAATATTATGATTATTATAATTGATAGGAACTACTTATATTTTCAGGTAAATGGTATTTTTATAACATCGACACCTCGTATTGTAATATATTCTAACATAATTATGTTTTAAATCTTAACGTAGAGTACGCAAAAAACAGCTGAATTCAGCAGCGGTGCAATATTGAACATTCCCGCCATATGGAACTTGAAGTTTTGCAACGTCGCTTAAATTTGCGCCGTAATTGTCAGTATATCCATCACCTCCGTAGAGGGCGGCCCAGTTCTGTAAAATAATATTTCATATTCATCTTTATTGCTCTGGTAGTTCTTTTACAAACTAATATTTACACCACGCTTAAGGAAAACTACTCAATTTTCTTTCTTATCGCATATTTAGCGGTTTTATTATTTCTTTTGTATTTTATGTTTTTATTATATAATAATTTATGACATAAATGTTAATGATGCATTGTAATATTGTGTGTAATATTGTAACTAATCAATAATTAGTTAATATTACGTTACGTTAATATTAACGTATGTCATATTAAATTACAGTAATCATTTTTTATTTTAATTTTTTAAAAAGAGAAAAAATCTTTCCAAATTCAATTTAATACAACAATAATAAATGAATGAAAATTAAAACTCTATTTACTAATCAGTTATTTCTATTGTTACTTAGCTACTAATAAAAAAAATGTTTTATTTATGATTAATACCAATAAATATAAGAAAAGGTAAATAAGCTTGCAAACTAATTTTAACATGCATTGATTTTCTTATTAGATTTGCCTAATAATTTATTACTTACGTAAAACAATAGATATTAAATTTAATATTTATTATTGTTGTTTATAATTTTAAAATATAAATAAATGTATATTGTGTTTATTAAAAACATATTGAACAATACGACAAAAATATTATTTATTTGTAAATTAAACAATGATTTATGCAATATATAGCAAATAAAAATATAACAAGTATAAGTATTAATATAATTATAGTCTATTTTTTATATAATTCAGAATCAAATTTTTTAATAAGACGCGGCAAATGTTGCTCAATTGACTTTATTAATTATCTTTGTTGACAATATACAAATAAAATGCTTAGTAAAATACAGAAATTATTTTCATTATAATAAAATAATTATTTATAGTGAAAAAGAATTATTTTATTGAATATCAATTCAAATAATAATAAATATTTAAAAGCCGCAGTGATTTTCGATCAGATAAGGTTCCTGTGATGGCGCATTGCTCCCAAGTAATTAAACAGAGGCTCTTGAAGAGTTTCCGGTGAGAAAGTTGAAAAAAACATCTCGAATATAAAAAGGCGACGTAAGGGCAAGAAGACGGATGTTCATAGATAACTATAGATTTCGGGACTGATACATACGCATCATTCGTTTGTGCTGCGTGACTCCGAATCATCTACATTATAATAGTAAATTCGAAAATACCTAGCATACTTATGTATATATGTAAGTTATTTGATATATATATATATGCAAAGTCGTGAATAATCATTGCTTTAAGGTAGCAGTGCATATATAACGTCTTTGTTTCTCCGCGGTTATGACAAGGAAGCGCACGCGCATAACTAGGTAGTGCGATACAACTCACGTTAACGTATTTATACAAATGCATATCTGTTCCTCGCCTAGCTCGTGCGATAAAGTGTTAGATAAGGATAGGTGGGTGAAGTAGCAAAAGCAAGTGAACACGAGGTACAGTTGAAAAGGGGGGGGGGGCTAAATGTGACTCATACGAGAGGGTCGGTCGGTCGGTTGGCGTCGCGCTTGCCTACTCAATAACATTATTGTAGTACCGTTTAGTTTTTGTCGTTGATTGAGCCGTGCGTTCTAACCAGTAGAGTGCATCGGCTATCGTTGAGAAAGCGGCGCTTTTGATATCCCGAAAAGGTGCAACGAAAAATTTGGGGATTGTGAAAGACAAGCAGAACGCGATCATCTCCCTTCCTTCTCTTTTACCAAAGGATCCCAGCAGGACTTGGGGAAAGCGAGTAGTGGTGGCCTACAGGATAAAGTTATCAGGTATATCACGTAGTGGGCGTGGAAAAATGATCGATCCGTCGCTGTGAGTTGTAATGCAACTTAAATCATATTGATTTTTAAAAGGCGACAGCGGCGCTTCCTTGCTCCTCGTGAAAACGCTATCCTCACATTAATTTAATGCTTATTACACTCTCGATGTCTTGGTACTTCATCTTAACTGCACTGAAGTGAATGGAAGAAAAAAGCATGCGAATTCGTCATCATCTATTGACTTTGACTTCCACCGCATATTGTTCATACCGTGTCCGTATACTTTTTACGAGTGTGTATGTTTCCTGCGTTCGGCAACGGTAAATAGAAAATTGAGAGAAAATGTTGTGGGCCAAGTTGCGCGTCAGACGTGACTGATTGTGCGCCAGATGCATATTCCGTGGCTATATAATCTAAAATCTATCAAAGAATACCACGTTTACTCGGAGGATACACTTGCACAAGATCGTTTTTGTAATTAGACAAGGTCATTATGGATAGCCATTTCAGGTGACCGTAACAAGTCCCACAAAATAGACTAAAATATTACATCGATTGGGGCGATTTAAATGCCATTACCAGCCGCGATTTT